TCGACCCACAGCCAGCTCACAATGACCTTCGCTGAACTGGCTCATACAGCTAAGGGGGGTGCACCGAGAAAACACGTCCGCGACTGAAAATACAAGTGTGAGATGCATGACAAAAGCTTCCCTGATGTGAAAAAAAAGGCGACATCCGGCAGGCCTGCGCAGGCCGTCTGAAGGGAAGGCTGGCATCAGCCTGACTGCTTGCAAGGCGATTTTTTCGCCCAACAGACTGAACCAAACGAGAAGCTGAACTGAAGATTGGCATTCTAGCTCCCTTCCCGACCTCTGGAGCTTCCTCGGCAGGCTCACGCTTGGCAGCTACCTGGCAGCAAACTACCTGGATTTGGCTGCCTCCAGCTTTGAAATATTCAAGCTTCAAACCCAAACAGAAATTGCAGGCAATTGTTGCGCACCTGCGCCAGTGCAACCTGTTTGTCCGATCCTCTTAGTGCCTTTACTGTTGTCCGGGAACAGATGCAATTTGGCATCCTCTAACTTGAGGATCCTAAATCTCCAAATATCAAGTTGGTAGCAACAAGTCCCGCCAGCAGCGCGGGGTGAGAACATGATTGCCAGACGCTGGACTGCAAATGTGTCAGGCTACAAGTAGAAATAACAATCGTGGAGAATTGTTCCTGACATCGTCTTCATCTTAAAGCGTTTCTCGGTTTCCCCATTGAGTGTCTTGCGCTTCGCTCAACGCTCACATCATTGTCCTGGAGTCAAATATCTCGCGCCTGCGAAGCATCTGTGGCTGACCAGCGGCCCAGCCTCAATCGGATGATCGCTCTTTTGCTTGTCACATGCGGTGCTTTTGGGCTGCTGGGCTGCTGGGCTGCTGGGCTGCTGGTTGGGTTGTTGGGCTGTATTGGCTTTGTGGTTTTGCTGCGCTGTTGGGCAGTTGGGGCCGCTGCCAGAAGAGCGCGGCAGCACCAGCACCGCTTAGGCCAGCCAGCGCTGCCAGCTGCCTGGAAGAAAGCTGTCAAAGGGACTGGGGCTGTGCTGGGCTTGATGTACGCCGTCGCTGGGCAGAAACCAATCGTAGTGGCAACCTGTTTGCCTATGCGGCCATGGGTCAAAAGCCAAATCGGTTATCCCCCAGTGAACAGCCGATTCAATCCAACCACTCAAATAGGCAGCCTAAAATGGGTGGTGCTTTTACCCCAGAATGGTACCAGATTCAATCCAACCACTAAAATAGGAAGCCTGAGATGGGTGGTGAATTCACTTACACCAAAATGGGATCCCATTGGTGTTGACGACCACAGCCATGTTCGCCATGGACATGGTCGTTAAAGCCGGGCCTCGGGGTCCAGTCAGCCATAGACTTGCGCGCCGCAAGCGCGCCGGCGAGGTGGGCCGGCGAGATGGGAACTTGATGTTTTGGGCGGGAGGTCGGGGCTGCGTAAGCTGCAGCGACAGCTTCCTTAGGGATCCGGATGCATTATACACCTGAGCATTGCAACTTGTACATGGTGGTGTCCCTTTAATTTGTTTGGTGGAAAAAGCCATATGTTTCAAATGGTTGCAAAATGTATCATTTGAGGAGCCCTGTTACAAGTCGTCGTGGTGAGGAAGCTGGGTCATGCAAACAAAATGTCCTCAAAGTAGGAAGCTAAATAATTCTCTGAGCCAGGCATGAGACATGGGAACAAGCACAACACGCCTCTAGCTGAGATCCTCTTCTGCTGTCTTGCTAACACCACACGCATATGAAGCACTGATTTCTTCTGGGATCGAGTGACGCGTCTCTGTGAGAAACTCTTTTCACAATCTCGGATCCTGTCAAGCTAAGTCAGCAAGATTAATCGTGCCTCCAATGCATTGTGAGGCGAAGCGACTATTCCCTCTGAACACCATCTGTGGCGGTCGCTCGCTCAGGTGTCAGGCCATTGACCAGGACCTGCAAGCACAACAAAGGCAAACATGTTCTAGAGCCACAATCTGCGGGTCGAGCCTCTGCCTTCATCGTAGGGGTCTTCGTCATAGCAGGGATCATAGGTATCCACTGAACACATGTCGGGAGTGTTCCTCGGCAGAGCTGGCTTGCCGTCGGCCACCATTGTTTCAATTGCACGCAAGACTGGTGCCTTCGGGCATCTACAAAGCTCTGGGAGCAAGATCAAAGCAAAACCCACGCCGTACCACTGGGCCGCGCGCTTTGCGCCATCCGCGGCTGTCCAAAGGCAGGGACTGTGTTTGGTTGAGCCTGTCCAGATGGCCCACCCGCAATTCGGTCATACAGAGGTTTCCGCCAAAGGCACCCCACGCCGTCCCAACCAATCACGCCTTCCCGCATGGAATGACACTGTCTTTAGCACTTCCCCCCTATGAAATCGCAAGAATATGGAAGCTCAACATGAGCGCTGGAATCGCATGATCATAACACCACGAATCGCAACAAGTCCATCAAACGCAGCCTCAACCGACGCATGAAAACACTCAAGTAGGAAGCGAAACGACTTCCAAAAGCAATCCTCCGACGACAAAACCAAAAAAACAGATTCCAGAAGATGCCCATCCCAATTTCGGAGAGAGGCTGAGAAGCTAGCCAGAACATGCAACGCTGCAAAAATTCAGGAAACAAACAACTCCTCAACACCCTTGCCTTGTGCCACTTTGGCCGCATCGCAGGCAGCCTTGCCTCGGCGAGACACACGAAGCTCGCAAGACATGCCAGCGCATGTTAGTGGCAACTGGCAGCTTCCTCGCTTTCCATGCGATGCTATTTGCCTCCATTCCACATAGGCGGCCGCGTTGGTAGACGACACGATCACGGGCCACAAGATGATCGTTGACGCAACGGGCGAGGTGCGTCGAAGATGAGCAGCGTGAGGAGCAACAAAGCCACACGGAGCGTAGACCGCAACCCGCGCCCAAGGACGGCTGTTTTTTTTGGTGCGCAGGAACAGTGCTGCCATCACACAGCCTCCCGATTCTGCGCCAAATTGTCGCAAAGTACATCCATTGCCATGCTGGAGTTTTTGTCTGCATTCGGGATACTCTGGATCTGCCCAAGGTTTTTGTCTGGCGCGGCTTCAGTCAATTTCAGGCCGCGCAGGTTCGGTGCAGCTTAGGCAGCCAGCGATCGCCTTCGTTCGGTTCTGCGTGGAATTCTCTGCTAGCCGCCCGAAAATGCGGAATGGGACTGCCGGCGCTGTGCAGCTTGCGTCTCAAAAAGCTTTGGATGGCTTGGCACGGCACGGATTGTGTTCGGACATGGGAGTTGTCACCGCAGCCAAGGTCATTTCGGCTGGAAGAAACATGCACCGCTGCCTTGAGTAAGTAGAAGCATCGTTTCAGATCACGAGCAAACGAGCCACTTTCAACCCACGGCCCGGCATCACAGCGCCAGCTCGCCTGCCCACGGCTTCCTCCCAGCCCAGCGGAAGCGCGAAGGATGCCGCGTGCGAATGCGAGTAAGCAAACAGGTTCAATTCGACAGCAAGTTGCCACTGAGGCAAGACAGCGGCCGCACGTCAAATCCCAGCAAACCAAAAGTACAACGCGGGTGTCGCTTGTTGATATAGCGCTCCAGGCTTGGCTTCAGGTGACTGAGGGCAGGGCCTTCTCTAGAGGATGGACACTCTGGCAGGGCTTTTCTGGAGGAGCACTCATACCTCCTGGCCAAAGGACGCGGCCTTGACGGGCCTCAAGCCTGCTGAGTCATCTGCTCGAGCGGACAAGCACAACACTTCTGGAGCGCCTCCTTTCTCTCCTTATCATCTGTTTGGTTCCTTGGTTGCCACGCCATGCCAGGTGTACGCACTCCAGCCAGCCAATATCCGTCGCACCAATGTTGGCTTATTCAGCCAATCGCATTCCCTCCGATTGCATGCGACTGTCGCTAGACTGTCGCCATCAAATTGAGTAAGTTGCCAGCCATGGGTTTCAGCGCCGTTGAACTCTACAGCCACCTCGACGGCCATGGCCTGAACGTGCAATCGAAGACATGCAGTCGTTGATGCATGGAAGGAGCATGTTCGCTCGTCAAAGTCACAACATGACTCACATCAAGGCAACACTAGTCCTGTTGCGGCCATGTGGTGGGTCAAGAATAGGTACTCAAAATGCAGCCTTGGTAAATAGAACTAAGGACTAAAACCTGCAGTCCCCTGGTGGTTTTGGTTTTGACCCACAGCCATGTATGAGACTTTAGACGATACCCAGAGCCAGGGAAAGAATCAAGAAGGCGGATATCCGCAGCTATTTATGGTTGGGACTGCCCCTTACTAACCTTCATCTTTTCCCTGGTTTTGATTGTGGCTCAGGTATGAGACGCTAAGCGATTGCCAGCTCATGGCTGCTCATGCTGTATGGCCTCCGCGAGGATGGCGCATATGACCCAGGCGGCCCGCCTGAGCACTGCGTAGCTCCCGGCACGACACTGGGTCAGTTCTGAGGCACGGGCATCATGGACTAAAGAAGTTTGCACACCATGGAAGAGGCTAAGTCTCAGCCAGAAAGGGCCAGCGGCAAAAATCAGTTCAAGTGCTCTGTCAATGATTTCGCTCGTACTCATGAACACACCTGCAAGGGGATAGCACACGCTGGCATCAGTCGCAGGGAGCAGTCCTCCCGGCTGCCGCCGGGTCAGTGTTCGCATGCCTTGCAGTTGGAAGGCTTCAGATGGATACCCGAAGAAAAATCTAGCGAGCAATGACGCAATGAAACGTATCCACGTCTGAAGAAATAAAATGGTGGGATCATTCCCGACTCTCTGAGCGTCCCTGCTTGAGTAGCCCATCGCCAGGTAGGCCATGCAGGTATGCTTGAGCACAAACTGAAGTCTGAGCACCATGTCTTAGATGCAATCAGGCCACAACTCTCCACTTGTGCCAATTCTTGACCCCATGAACCTCACTTGGCCAGTGACCAGCCAAAAAAATGCACACTTCTTTGGGCCACCACTAAAATAAAAGGGAGAGCCACCAAGGAAAAAAGTGGTAAGGTGCGCCCACTGGGTGAGTTGAACGGAAGGCACAAAAGCTGGCCAGCAGTGCCCATGCTTCTGCCGTACTCGGTCAACGCCCAGAAAGGCTTGCCCGTGTTCTTCGCCAAGTCCAAGAGGACCTGCGCAGCTCCACAACTCGGTTGCTTTCTGCTCCCCTGCTAAAAGTTTAACCTTCAGTGGTTTAATACGGAAAGCCCATTAGTAGTTGGCAAAAAGTTAAAGTCCTAGCATCCAAGCAAAAAGCAACAAAGACAACTCTTTGGCGAAAGGCATTACTGTGTTCGTCTCGCATGGACTGTTTTCCACGGGCATGCAGTAAGTCACTAATCATTGAATTCACAGACAACTTGCAAACATAAGATCGAGCACGGAGGCCGGGCCTTTGGTTTTGCTTCAGGAAATTTGGTGATTAAGGCACAAAGAACCGCAAAGAACCGGCCACCGCCCCGCCGAGCAGTGTCGCTGAACGAAGGTGCTACATGCCAATTCTGGCAAACAGTCTTTTTCAAGACATGGCATCAGCTGGAAAGCTGCACTTTCACCTGCCAGAGGGTTGCAGCTCTGGGCGTTGCGCCAGCAATGGAATGCAGAGTGAACGGTATTTGATATTACAGCGAGTTTACTTTGACACGCATTTCAAGTGTCTCGTTGAGAGTAGTTTGAACCAAACCCTATTTGCTATCCAACCTCGCCCCGCTGTACAGCGGCGTTGTGCTTCATAACCTGCACCAAGCAGCTCATTTGCGCGCGCAAACATGTCGTCTGTTGAAAGCGTCCGACACGTGACCACCACCCAACAATGGACTCTCTCACTCACTCACTCACTCACTCACTCACTCACTCTCTCTCTCTCTCTTTCTTCCCCCAACAATCCCGGAAGTCTCTGAGACCTCGCCTGCAGCATCCACGCTCCAGAACAGCCACCTGTGGTGGCCAATGAGAGCGCTACAATGACTCCAACTGCAAAGAAGCTATAGCCAAGGCTGCCTCAGTCGGAGTAGCCAAAGCAGCCAAAGCAGCCAAGACATCCAAAGCCGCGCTTGCAGCCTTCATTGCTGGCACTGCCAGGGCCACGAAGACTGTTGCCTCGTCAGCTACAGCGAAAGCAACAACAATGCGCGCGGTGAGGCGCTCGTGCAAAGTGTCTGTGATATGACAGCAGATGAACCAGAGGTATGACAGCCCAATGTCAGCTGCGAACAGCATGGAACAAACGGCTAGCAAGCAACAAGCACATCGTGCAAGCGCATGGCCTGCAGAAGCGCCCTTGGCAGTGCGAAAAGAAGTACCGATTGCATGGCCGCTGAACTGACAGGCCCTGAGCTTCGCACGCAGGGCTGCGAGATGTGTAGCCTCGCACGGTGCGCAAGCTGCGAGGTCTCGGCTCAAGCTCACATGCGCTACAAATTCGCCTGGGAACACTGAGATCTCGCCCGTGTGCCTGTCGATTGAATCAGGGTGCTCTACTAGGTGCAACAGCTGCTGGATCTCCCAGCATTGTTAGAGCTTTTTGCACAGTGTATGAGGGTCAACAAGGCTCAAGGTCAGTTCGCCTGGCCCTTCCACTCGTCTTCAGAGCCCTCCTCGAAGCTTTGAACGGGTCAGGCCAAGCAAATTCATGACAACGGGTGTTGGTTCTCAAGAAGCAGCAACATGAAGTGATGCACAGCGCTTCATAAGCCTGTCCTCTTGAATATCGTCTTTTCCCGGCGCCCCCGTGCCTAGCAAGTGCTCATGTAAAACATGGCCATGGGTCAAAATCCAAATCGTACCCCCAGTGAAAATCCCAATCCCCCCTAGAATAGGTTCCAAAATGGGTGGTGAATTCACCTACCAACCAAAATGGGATACCATCGGTTTAAACCACCAGGACAGGGACCGCAGGGTTTAGTCTATGTGTCCAATTTTCAGGGGTCCAACCCATTTTGAAATACGCATCTTTGACCGCAGCCACATGGCACATGGCACGCCTGCCTTTGGGTTGCGCCAGGCGCTGCATGCTCGCCTTCTGCGCATTCACCTGGTAACGGCTCACGGCGCCTCACGTAACGCGCCCGTGAGACCGGGTGCAACGGCCTGCACCGATTGTAGCCAAACCAAAGGGCTGTGGTGGTCAAAGATGCGCATTTCAAATTGGGTTGCCCTGGTAAATGGAGCCAAGGACAAAAACCTGCGGTCCATATCCTGGTGGCTTTAGTTTTGAGCCATACCCACATTCTCCAGTTTTTTCTGACGCAAACGGCGTGCCACGTCAGGCAACAAGAATGCGTGGTGCTTGAGGCAGCGGCCACCGCCGACGAACAACGGCGTCGGCATCTGAGCCTTGCAGCCACTTCGGTGAAGCGAAGCATCTCTTTCAGAAAAGTTCACTCCCATGAAAAGACATCACACATTGACATGGCCATGGGTCAACATCCAAATCGTACCCCCAGCAAACATCCCAATCCCCACTAAAATAGGTTCGTGAATTCACCTACCCCAACATGCTATCATTGGCTTTGACCCACAGCCACATTGCAAGCGGCTCTCCTGAGAATTGAGTGGGAAAAAAGAAAACAATGCTAAGTCTTGCACTTGTATCTGAACCTGCAGCGAAATCGCGCATCACATCCAGCCAAGTGCATTCCACAAGGTGCGAGAGTTTAGCTTTGAATTGGGAGGCAAAGAAGCGCGGCCTCATCAATGAAAAGTGTCATGCGGCCGTTGTGAAGATAAGTATCCCATTTGAAAGCATCGTCACGCACGCTCAAGCCTTCATCTGAGCTGTGAGGCCGATGCTAAGAAAATGACAAGACATGAGCGTTTGCCACCCTCAGACAAGCAGCGCCCAAGACCCCCTTTGACTTTGGGCTCCACTGAGATGGTTATTAGGGGTGTTGTGCGCGGCTACAAATTCTCACGAACACAAACTAGCGAGTGCGTGATCCGGTCAAAGCGGTCCTCAAGCAGTTTCATGTGTTGTCTTTCTTGGCAAATGCCTCGCTCATGCTGAGCACCCTACTCAGCACTCCCAATGTCCCGAGCTGAACCCTTGATGCCACTTGGTTCCCGGCTGCGGAGGCCGTGCTTTGGGCCTTGCTAGACTGTCACAGCGCTGGCGTTGCTCCTGGCCATCTTCGCCCTCAACATTACCCGAAAGCGCTCCACACTGGCGCTCCACAAAAAAAATGAGCTTCCAAAGTGAGAATCTGAACGCGCCATGAAACAAAATCACGTCAAAAGCATAGTCCTCTACTCTCATCGGGGCTGAAGGAGCTGACGCCGGACGCTTCAAGACCACTTTCTGCTCAGCCTGTCCAATCCGAGCCGATGACAGGAGAAACTTTCGTACCACAAAGTGATTCCAAGGCGAGATGAAAAAATCCTTTCATCGTGGTTGCTTAAAAACCAAGGTCCGCTTTCGCATCCTCAGGAGCTCTGCCACAATATCGCCAGCATCAGCATCACTGTCATTATCTGGATGACATGGTGGACAAGAGGGGCACACAGGGTCAAATGAAAACCTTAAACTCTCAGTGGCTTGAAATCTGAAACAGCTTAAGGGCTTGAAATCTGAAAAGGTTGTGGCTTAACGTGTTAAAAGTTTAATAGCTTAATGCCTGAACATCTTAATGGCTTAAACTATTAACATATTCATGGCTTAAATTCTAAAACTCGTAATGGCTGAACACCTTAAAACCTTAGTGGCTTAACGTGTTAAAATCTTACTGGCTAAAAACATGAACGCTTAAATGGATTGCACTCTGAAAAGTATGAATGGTTTGCAATCTTAAAAAATGTGTGGCTTAACCTTTGACATCTTAATGGCTTAAAATTCTAGAATATTAATGGCTTAACATCTTCAAACCTTAGTGACTTCAAACCTTAGAATCTTCATGGAGTAAAAGATTAAAGTCTCAGTGGCTTAACATGTAAAAGCCTGAATGGCTTAAAGTCTAAACATCTTAACGGCTTGGCCTTAAACCGTAGAACATGAATGGCATAAAATCGTGCTGGCTCGAAATCTAAAAAATGGAAGTGGCTGAAAATATTAAATCATACTGGCTTAGCGTGATAAAGTCTGAACGGTTCTAAATCTTAAAATACCAATGGCTGAACACCTGAACACCTCAATGGGTTAAACTCTGAAAATCTAGAGTGGCTTACAATCTTAAAATACTGGTGGTTTAACGTGTTAACATCTTCGTGGCTTAAACTCACAAAATAGTAATGGCTTACAATACTAAAATGTGAATAGCGTCAAGATTTGAAATCTTAATGGAGTAAAACATTGAAACCTTACTGGCTTCAGGTGTTAAAATATGAATGGCGTGCAGTCTTCACATCTCAATGGCTTAGAATCTTCAAGTCTTAGTGACCACACATACTATAGTAGTGATGGCTCAAATCTTGAAATCTTACTGGCTTAAAACCGAGAAGTCTTGATGGATTAACATCTAAGCATCGTAATGGCTGAACATCTTGTATGCCACAAGACACGAATAGAGACCCTGCATTTGACCCGTGCCCCTCAAAGGGAAAAGAAAATTCCAAAGGCACAACTCCAATGAGGGAATTCCAAAGGGAACAGTCCCAATGGCACAATTCCAACGGGACAAATCCAATGGGAGAATTCCAATGGGAGAATCTGAATGGGAGAATTCTTCGCATGGGAGAAATTGGAAAATTCCAAAGGAGAATTCTATTGGGGGGAATTCTACTGGGAGAATTTCAAAGGGAGAATGTCAAAGGGAATAGTCCAACGGGAGAATTCCCATGCGGAAAATTGGAACATTCCAAATCGAGAGTTCTCATGGGAGAAATGGGACAATTCCAAAGAGTACGTGCACAAAGGGCCCTTTTACCTTACGCAGATCCCTGGAGTTGCAGTCTGAAGAGTCCTTCTTTGCGTTGTCTCATTGCTTTGGAGTCCTTCTGCTTGGTGTTTCACTCGCGACAGCAAACTTCAACGCCTCCACCCCATACACTTCCTTTTGCAATTTCCCCATTGGAAGTTTCCCTGGAATTGTCCAATACATTTGATATTTTCTCTCTGGAATTTTCCCATGCAGCGACCAAAACAAGCGACACACTGCGGCACTGAGCCAACACGCCTCCAGATCCTGGACGCGGCTCCTGCGTGGCCATCGAGGAAGGGAGAGGCGGCGAACGAGCTCCTCCGCATGCGAGACATGTGGCTGTGGTTGTCAAAACCGTTTTGGGATCCCATTGGGCAGGTGAATTCACCACCCATTTTGGAACCTATTTTAGTGGTTGGATTGGGGGTACGATTTGGATTTTGACCCATGGCCATGTAGCCGTGAAAGCCGTCGAAGCCCCGTTGGGCGCACGTCCAGGTCAAGAGAAAGGAACCCCCCCATTTTCTTGACCCCCCCTTCCCTTTTTTTGAACCCCGCCCCCTCCAAGAGAAATGCCCAGGTCTGATAGGATCTTGAGAAGTGGTAATCTCCGCACCTTGGCGCGCTCCGGCGGCAAGTGCGGCTGGGAGCTGCTGTGCTGGAAGAGACCTAGGCTTGCGCGCTTTCACAAAGCAAACACATGGCTGTGGGTTCAAATCCCGTACCCCCGGTGAACATCCCAATCCCCACTAAAATAGACTAAAATGGGTGGTGCACCTACCCCAAAATGGTACCATTGGTTTTGACCCACAGCCACATCAAAGTCGGACGGTATCGCTACACGTGGTATCCGACCCTTCCTTCAAAAGGGGAGGCGCACGGGAAGGGTGACTGCTGCATTTACTCACTTCATTCTCCAGACAGCTCTGCTTTTTGTCCTGAAAATGCACTTGTCCCCACCCAAAGCTTCTGCAAAACAACTTGGCTTGGCCTTCTAGTAGCCAACAATACGTTGTCAAATGGTGGGTCGCAAATTTGACGGAAATAGCCATTGCATAGTTGCTTCTGTTTCTGCTGCTGGCGAAAAACTCAGGTGTTTGCCAGTACAGAACCACATCACATGCCGATTGAGAGTTACACTCGCACCGCTTTTTCCAGTAGCATGTAGTCTTCTTTTGCTGCTGCCATGGAGCGCAAGGCGCAGACACCATACTTGGCACGCAAAACACATATCAAATACAGAGCGCATACTTTGACGAGCCCACCATTTGCTTCCCGCTGTACTGCACAGGCACTCTCCATCGAAGACCACTATGAGCGCAGCTCAAAAGCGAATCAAACCTGAGATGACAGGTGCGCTGGAGCTGGCACTGACAGGCAAGACTGCTTGGGGCACTGCAAAGATTGGTGTCAGCATAGCGTGCAATTCGAACATGCCACTGTTGAACATGCTACAAGCGTGCTTGCCAAGCTGCTTCTGTTTCCTGGATGGTCGCGCAACGCGCGGATTCCTAGCGCCCAGCCATCTGTGCAAGCGCAGAAAGAACAAAGCCGCGCAGCTAGACATGTTTGTCGGCAAGTGAGTGAATCAGTGAATCGTACTCAAACCAACGATCAACTGTGGAGGTGAGACACGAGACACGGAGCTATGGCAATCACACGCAAGCAAAGCGCAACTGCAGCACAAGCGTCGCATGTACTCCAGTAGCTGCTGACTGCTCCATCCAGCCGACCTTGCCAATTCCACAAGAGCACCTTAGCGCTTAGACCAAAAGTGAATTGGAAGCAACTGTCTTGGATTCACGCATGGGGAGCTGACGCAATTCGGGATTTGTCTGGCAGCCTCCTGATTGAATAGTTACCTTCCATGACTTTGTCTGCGGCCTGTCACTATGTGAGTTACACTCAAAACCCATGATAAGCTCTGCCGGAGTGCGCCTTGCACGTGGAAAAGGTAATAGCTGGGAACAGCTGTAGAGCACCTCTTACCTGCCATTGGTCACCGGCCGGCCAGGTAAGGCATGTAAGGCAAGGCGCTGGTCTGGAGGTCCTGCGTCACCTGTCGGATCCGGACTCAGCACAGTCCACATGCTTTGATGGGGCATGGACTGGCCAAAAAAGGGCGAATTCTACGCTCGCGCGCGCACTTCTCTCGCAAGCGTCCGGACGCTTGCCTGGAACTGCTGGCAGTAGGCCCTGTTGGACGCCTGAATGCTCGAGGCCTCGGCCTCCGCCTGCCGGATCGCTCCGAGCAATTGGGCTTTGCTGCGTCAACGCATGTGGCTCCAAGGCTCTGAGGGGGCCAATATCAAACAAACACAACCCTCTTGGCCAACACAACCATTGCAAGCATGCATTTCTATTCACGATTCATGCATCAGGGCATGTCAAGCATCAAGCAGTTCGCAGGACCCACACCTGAACAAGCAAGCTTTCACTAGATCATGAGCCTGATCAAGGAACTTGTGAGGTGCCATTCCGCGTAGCCCAAGCAACAGAAAATAAGTTGCTTTGCGAATTCCCACTCTAGCATGAGTCCGCAAGCCTCGTTCACCATCACCTTCACATTTTGCTCAGCCTGTAGAACTTTTGTCCTGGCGTCATGACAATGCCAGTGATACGCACAAGCACACTTTCTGAAGGAATTCACGTGTTGAAAGCATACCGTTTTCCAATAATAGTGGATATATGAGCAACAAAAACTGTGATTAAAGACTACCCTTTTTGCCAGCAGATTGCCAAGCAGCACTACTTCAAGGCCAAAAGCTTGGCAAAATGACAGACCCCCCCCCCTTCATCCATTGTTGGTACACACCAAAGCTCTCCGAAATTAAGAGCGTCCCTTCCCCCTCCAAAAACAAAAACACATACACCTGCATAGACCCCAGATAGCATGCAAGATTTCAATAGCACCCAGACCAGCACCCTGACGGGCACCCTGACCAGCACTCGGCCAGCATGGCCAAACCACCTTGGACACACCCAACAGCACCTTGACCACTGCCCAGCACCCTGACCACCCACAACGCGCGGCCTGATGGCATGGGTGATCTCACTCATGGTCAGGGTCCGTTAGTCACTGATCATGGCCCAGTTGGTGCGGCCCCTGTTTTCTCAAAGCTTTACTACATTGCCAACCTTCGCCGCAGTCACCTAGGCTACCGAGTCAAACGCTTGTCTAAGATTCGGTTGACTTTGCTTTTGGAGTGGAGTTGCCAATGCCAGGATCAGCAAAGCCTGGTAGGTTTGGAGAATAAGATAATCGGAGGAAGATGCATTGCAAAAAACTGACACTGCCATCAACCAGAGCACCCCAAACAGCACACAGCACCTGCACCAACCTGGCCCGAACTTGCAAAACAGCTTGCCCCTTTTTGGAAGTACCCCCAGTTGCTTTCAGGTATCCGGGGGAAAATGCGCCCGCTCCGTCACCAGCACCCAAACCCGCACCTGCGCCAGCACCAAACTGCATGCCCCCTAGCACCCAGCCGTCAATCTCGCAAAACAAATTCCTTTTTGTTAGAAGTTAGAACCCCTATAGCTTTCAGTTTTCTGGGGGGAACTGCCAAAGCTGGTGACAATACTTCTGCCAAGTCCAAACTCAGAAGTGAGCTATCCGGAGCGTTTGTTCCAAACAAGTATTGACGGTTTCACCCTTCAAGGTGCCCCGATTCCTGGCACTCTCCAGCCTGGCAACTGTTTGGGTTGCCGAGCATGGCGCGCGCAGCTCGCAGCTACAGTTTTGCCGGAAGCATTGCATCAAACGCGGTTCTTTGCCAGAGCGAAATGCAGCTTTGATGGCAGGGCCACGCGCCGCGGAATTCGCGGCTACGTGTTTAAGCATGTTTTTTGCTGGACGTCCTCTCGCGACTCGCGTCTTTGTCAGGTTTCCTGCAATACGCCTCCGGGGCATTCAAGTTCCACAAAGTAAACTCATAACACAACACACCTTCACGAGAACCCACGCACGACAATGATAGCGTTCATGTTGCACGTGCTACACTTTCAATGAACACACATTGAAGTGGGTTTGTTCTGAATGTCATTTGCTTAAGACAACATCGATCCGAACCCAGCGGTTCTTGAAGGTGACCGTCTTTGTCTTCTGCTCCAGCGTGGCGATCTGGATGTCCTGGCAAGTTATATGGAGAAGAAACCGAGCAAGCCAGCCAACCCGGAAGGCTAGGAACTGCCAGTCCTGCTGCTTCACTTGTGTCTCCCGAATGGCCTCCTCGAACTCAGCGGGCAAGTGCACAGTCCTGTCACAAACCGAAACCAAACCCTGCCAGCACAACGCCAGAAAATCTTAACATCCCGCGTGAAGTCATGGTTTCATGGCTCCTGAGCTGAAAGAACGGCACTTCGGAGAAGCCACGCTCCTACGATCCGCGGCGTGCAGGGATCTGTGTGCGTGTGTCTGTGTGTGTGTGTCTGTGTGTGTCTCTGTGTGTCTCTGTGTGTCTCTGTGTGTCTCTGTGTGTCTCTGTGTGTCTCTGTGTGTCTCTGTGTGTCTCTGTGTGTCTCTGTGTGTCTCTGTGTGTCTCTGTGTGTCTCTGTGTGTGTGTGTGTGTGTGTCTCTGTCTGTGTCTCTGTGTGTGTGTCTCTGTCTGTGTCTCTGTCTGTGTCTCTGTCTGTGTCTCTGTCTGTGTCTCAGTCTGTGTCTCTGTCTGTGTCTCTGTCTGTGTCTCAGTCTGTGTCTCTGTCTGTGTCTCTGTCTGTGTCTCTGTCTGTGTCTCTGTCTGTGTCTCTGTCTGTGTCTCTGTCTGTGTCTCTGTCTGTCTGTGTCTGTCTGTGTCTGTCTCTGTCTGTCTCTGTCTGTCTCTGTCTGTCTCTGTCTGTCTCTGTCTGTCTCTGTTTGTCTCTGTCCGTCTCTGTCCGTCTCTGTCTATCTCTGTCTGTCTCTGTCTCTCTCTGTCTGTCTCTGTCTGTCTCTGTCTGTGTCTGTCTCTGTCTGTCTGTCTGTCTGGTGTCTGTGTGTGTGTGTCTGTGTGTGTCTGTGTGTGTGTGTCTCTGTGTGTGTCTCTGTCTGTGTCTCTGTCTGTGTCTCTGTCTGTGTCTGTCTCTGTCTGTCTGTCTCTGTGTGTCTGTGTGTGTGTGTCTGTGCGTGTGTGTGTGTGTGTGTGTCTGTGTGTCTCTGTGTGTCTCTGTGTGTCTCTGTGTGTCTCTGTCTGTGTCTCTGTCTGTGTCTCTGTCTGTGTCTCTGTCTGTGTCTCTGTCTGTGTCCCTGTCTGTGTCTCAGTCTGTGTCTCTGTCTGTGTCTCTGTCTGTGTCTCTATCTGTGTCTCTGTCTGTGTCTCTGTCTGTGTCTCTGGCTGTGTCTCTGTCTGTGTCTCTGTCTGTGTCTCTGTCTGTGTCTCAGTCTGTGTCTCAGTCTGCGTCTCTGTCTGTGTCTCTGTCTGTGTCTCTGTCTGTGTCTCTGTCTGTGTCTCTGTCTGTGTCTCTGTCTGTCTCTCTGTCTGTGTCTCTGTCTGTGTCTCTGTCTGTGTCTCTGTCTGTCTGTGTCTGTCTCTGTCTGTCTCTGTCTGTCTCTGTCTGTCTCTGTCTGTCTCTGTCTGTCTCTGTCTGTCTCTGTGTGTCTCTGTCTGTCTCTGTCTGTCTCTGTCTGTCTCTGTCTGTCTGTGTCTGTCTCTGTCTGTCTCTGTCTGTGTGTGTCTGTCTCTGTCTGTCTCTGTCTGTCTCTGTGTGTCTCTGTCTGTCTCTGTCTGTCTCTCTGTCTGTCTCTGTCTGTCTCTGTCTGTCTCTGTCTGTCTCTGTCTGTCTCTGTCTGTCTCTGTCTGTCTCTGCCTGTCTCTGCCTGTCTCTGTCTGTCTCTGTCTGTCTCTGTCTGTCTCTGTCTCTCTCTGTCTGTCTCTGTCTGTCTTGTCTGTCTCTGTCTGTCTCTGTCTGTCTCTGTCTGTCTCTGTCTGTCTCTGTCTCTCTCTGTCTGGTGTCTGTGTGTGTGTGTCTGTGTTGTGTGTGTCTGTGTCTGTCTGTCTGTCTGTCTGTCTGTCTGTCTGTCTGTCTGTCTGTCTGTCTGTCTGTCTGTCTGTCTGTCTGTCTGTCTGTCTGTCTGTCTGTCTGTCTGTCTGTCTGTCTGTCTGTCTGTCTGTCTGTCTGTCTGTCTGTCTGTTTGTCTGGGTGTGTCTGGGTGTGTCTGAGTGCGTCTCGGTGCATCTGGGTGTGTCTGTGTGTGGGCCTGTCTTTGTGTTTGTGTCTTGCGGCGCGCCTGTGTGCGCATACCCCAGCCTCGAAGTGCTTGGTGAGCCTGTCGTGCATCACTGCACCTCGGAAGCTTGCTGAGCGAACTGCTGCACTGCGCAGTGCACACCTTAAGTGTTTGTTGCATCTCAGAGCTGAGCCGATAGAAGTGCGGTTGGTGAAAAAGAAATGAGCGCTGTGGTCCCTCAGATCGTAAGGCAAACCACGCACAGTCCGCATTGCGTGAAGGCCACATGAGTCATAATCAAAACCCGGTAATGGTCTACACAGAGCCATGTAAAGAATTCAGCAGGCCGTATTTATGGCAAGGGGACTGCCCCTTACTGACCTACCCATCTACCTGGACTCAGAATCGGCTGAGGCTCGTCGCGGCGGTGGCAAGCTGCTCGATTGCCATGCGCAGAAATGTCCTCAACCGCTGCGAAACCAGCTGCATGGAGAAAAACCTTGTGATCCCTGCAACCAAACAATGAGCGCCCGCGGGGAACGCCAATATGGCCATGGGGCAAAAGCCCGGTTATCCCCCAGTGGACATCCCAATCCCCAATAAGTTCTAAAATGGGTGGTGCACCAAAAAACCCCAAAATGGAATCCCATTGGATTTGACAACCACAGCCCTATCTGCACGAGTTGCACCTGAAATCAGGGCAAGCTGCGGCTCGTAGTCCTGGCCCAGGGTTTTGTATAAGTCGTAGACCTTGTCGAATTGCAGCCGGTACTGGAACGACACCTTCAGGGCGAAGGCACACCGAAGGCATCAGCTGAGCACGCGGCCGCCGAGTTGCGCTCCGCACGGCAAACTTGCAAATATTAACTGAGCATCAAAAGGAACATGATGCAAGCATTCAGAAATCCGAAAGGTTGCCCCAAATGATAAACAGCCCATCACTCTGCAATTGGCAGAGAATCTAACATTCATCATCGTCATCATCATCATCATCATCATCATCATCATCATCATCATCATCATCATCATCACAGTTGTGAGCTACGATTGTGATAATTGTGATGTTCATCGTTGACATCGTCGACGCTGTCATTCATACCACTCCTGCCTCCAGCCTGACATTCAGGCCATCCTTCGTCCGGCTTTGAAGCGCAGGGCCTTGTCTGGTGTTGTCATTGTCATCCGTGAAAAGCACAGAGTTTACCTGAGTAAGCACATGTGTGCAAAGCTCCAAAACGCTCAACAAGCAGGAACACAGAGATGGAAACAAGGGAATGCGTGCGTGTGTGAGAGCAGACCTGTCATAGGTGTCCTTTTAGGGCAGTCCATTTTTCTACCAAAACAAACAAAAAGGACACCTATGAGCACTGTTCACTGCAGCCAAACTGCCATTCTTGGAAACTTGATGAAATGATTTGCAATTCCCAAGTAGTATCTGCCGCTGGTGTACGGCTTCTTCTCCACTGTTTCGCTTATCCTGAGTCAAGGCAACTCCAATACCGCCGCACGTGTCTCCAGAGCGCTTTGTTTCGCCACTGCAGCAAAATGGCCTGCTGTAGTTCAGGCCATACTCCTCAGGGATAATTTGCGAGGCAGTGCCAGCATGCGTGCATTGTGTTCTTATTAGAGGAAGCTCTGCCCTGTATGCTTCCGTTGGGTTGATTTGTTGCGCCAAAACTGAAAACTCCAGCAACGATGCAAGATTGAGAGATGCCCCCATGCTATCTATGTCCAGCAACTTAGCTCAACCAGTGATTGCATCTCGGTGCCTGGTACTCGAGCGAATCGAAGCTCAAGAAGAACAACACCACCAACGTCGCGGCAGCCACTACGAGCACCGGCACCAACACTGCCTGCGCGCGGCATGGAATCTTTCAAAGATCAATTATTCATGTACCAAGTTGAAATTGGATCAAATCAAGAACGGTACGTCAAAGAATTGGTGAAGCTGCAGACCTTAAGAGCGTTGACAAAGACCAGACTGCTGCGTTGCCGGAGTGGCTGTGTGACATTGTAAACTCCTGTTGATGGATTTGTCTGTCCATCATCCTCGCCTGGTTCATCTGTGCCGCATTTGCATACACGCCAAGCGGCTACAGGATGTCACATATGGTTGGTGTCGTTTCATTGGTCTGTGCGTGTGTGGCTGCGTGGTATGTCTTCCTGCATGTTGCACCATCATGGCAATACCGTGGCCATACCGTGGCAATACCGGCAATACCGAGTTCCTGGCATGCACAAAGCTTGGGCCCAATGGCGAATTCAGAGCGACTCGGACATGTCAGGGGCACAGTGGACATGAGGCCAAGGACGAGTGCATTTTGCTACGGCCGCCAACTGGGTCCACCCGGCGCGTGGGGCCTGCCACCTAAAGGCACCACACGTGGGCATGGTTTCATTGCACATGACATGCCATACGTAAGCTGCGTTGCTGCAAAGCTGTCACCAAACGATCCACAGTCCCAGCGAAGTCTTGTCGTTTGTAGACTTGGAAACTCTGCAAGGCTGCGGCTGCCCATGCCACCTTTGTAGTGCCACATGCTGGCGGCTCCTGCACGCAAAGAAAGCACCGCAGCACACCAGTGCTGCGGGGGGGGGGGGGAAAAAGAACTCGCACTGGACAAATAAAGCCAACGTTACGAAGGTCCGCCACTGCCCCAGCGTCTCTGCTGCTTCTATAAGAAATGCCGGCCAAGTTTCCATCGGTGTGGGAAAGCAAAGGCAAAATATGGCTTTGAAGATTCTCAGGGTGCTTTGAATACTCGAAAATGCGCTGTTGCTAGTTGACCATGTTTTGTGTTGTGGCGTGATTTTGCTTTGTGGGCTTTCTGTGTGATTCTGTGTGTGTGTGTGTGCGTAAACATTGTTTGGGAATGTGTGTTTGCTTGTGTGTGTGTGTGTGTGCGTGTTTGTGCGTATTTGTCTGCGCGGTGTGTGTTTGTCTGTGTGTGTATTTGTGTTTGTGTTTGCGTGTTTGTGTGTCTGTGCGTCTGTTTGTTTGTGTGACAGTGTGTTTGTGTGTGTGTGTGGCTCTGTGTGTGTGTGTGCTTGGCTTTGTGTTTCCGTGTGTTTTGGTGTTCTTGTGTGCGTACGCGTGCGCGGTGCGTGCGCGCGTGAGCGTTTTTTGGGCGCTATCGAGCGGACCAGCAGAGGGTCCTGGTGCTCAGCCAGCGTTGCGGCAGGAGGCTGAGCTGGTGAAACTGGGGGTGCCGATGGCGGCGTAGGCAATGGGGCCACTGGCGGGCTAGGCCGATGCTTCTGCCTGGAAGGGGCCAAAGGGGCTGACAGGCACATTCAACTCATGCATTTCATTCAAGTCATTCAAATCATTCAAGTCATTCAATTCAGTCAAGTCATTCAATTCATTCAAGTCATTCAATTCATTCAATTCATTCAATGATCAAAAACATAACTGGGCATTCCTCTCGCATCACTGCTCAGCGCTTCTCTGGCCTGGCGGCCCTCTCAGACTCTGGGCGGGAGTGAGGCGCTGACCTTGCTCAGTCAGCACGTTGAACGCATGTGTGGCGCAGCTTCAGTTGAGCTGTCGCCGCATCACTAAGACGCACACATGGCATTGCTTCGCACACCTTGCAGCACTGCTAGGCAGAATTTGTTTTATGCAGTTCAAGATACCCTACCTGCACTCTTCGCAGAACGTGGGCGGCTCTGTGTGCCTGCAGCTCTCACAAGGCCTTTTAAGCAGGTCCAAATACCCTACCTGCACTCTTCGCAGAACGCGGACGGCTCTGTGTGCCTCCAGCTGCACAAAGCTTCTTAAGGTGCCTTTTTTTGCTCCAGCCCCCAAGCTCTCTCTGAGGCTCGCACCCGATCTGTCGCAAAGTGCGTCTAAAGACGGGCTTTCAGCCTGGGGTTCAGAGCAGTTGAGAACGTCCCCACAGCTTTCCTCATCTCAAATCCCGCCTTGATCACCATGAGCCGGCCATTGTGCGGCATGCCCAAACCTCAAGGGCGCGGGAAAATATGTCGACCCGCAGCCGCAGGCTCCTTCTGTGACGCGCAAATTGGGCCGCACTTTCGTCAGGGATGAGGGTCAGGGCTCTGGGCAAACCGCTCATCTCGGTCAGAAACAGAATCTGCCCATCACCAGGGTTCAAAGCACAAACGAAGCCCAGACCAGCCGCGAAGATGCGGGTCGCGTCCTTGCACAGGCTGAGGACGGCGTCTGCAAATCCCCGCTCCCAGCGCCAACTTCGGCTGGACAGGTCCCACGCCAGCACCGAGCCGCCATCGCAGCTATCGCCCAGCGCAAGGATGACCTGAAGAGCAAACGGGCGACGTTGGGCACGCTGAAACCGTAAAAAGCTCAAGGCACCGCGTTTCGGGTCTCGAGGTTTCACCCCCAACCTCCAAGCCTCACCCCCTTACCCGAGCCCCCAACTCCCCAACCCCCAACCCTGCCCCCAACACGTGTTCTGCTCAAGCCAGGCCACCAAGCTGCGCCAGCCAAGGGAGCAGCTGGGACGGCCGTCGAGCTCTGCTGAACACATGGTACCTGGTCGGGGATCGGTATTCATCGTATCCACCCCGTGCATTTCACCAGAACAAAAAAAAGGAGGCCGACGTCAGCGCACCTCGATGCAAATCAACAGCAGCCAATGCATAGCAGTTGGCCCGGATCAGAGCCACCTGGGCCAACACAGTAGCTGCATCCTCTAGGCCGGCGGCTGCTTGGATCCGGTGCCCTCCACCGATTTCCAACTCAAAGCCCGACAAAGTCAGCTTGTTTCTCTGCCTGTGAGAAGCATTTAGGCGTTCCTGTTTGAGGTTCGCGAAAGGAATCAAGAGGATGGATGATGTCGAGCCTACGGGGCAGGGAGACGCGGAGGAAAGAAATCCTGCGGGATGAGGAGAGGTTGTTGCCAGGGCATGGATAGGTGGAGACTGTCGTAAAGGCGGGAGTCGAACGTCTGCGGAAAAACCACCGACTCAGCCTGCGAACAAGTTGCAATAGCAGCTTTGTGTTGTTGCTACAGGCATTTGCTTTTGGGCTCCCTTCACCCCTTGCCCCTTGCCAAGTTGTAGAGCCACACCCAGGTATTGCGGTCATGGCACCATGCTCATGCAATCTGTGCCAATGGGATAGGTTTTGACCACAGAACCCTCAAACCTTAGTCGCGCAAATTCATTCTGAAAGAAAACTGGATGCAGCCGCAAGCAAATATGAAGCTGAATCAACAAGACCATATTACATTGTGGAGCCTGGTAGCGCGGATCGAAACAATGTTCCCGCTGTTTCTGCATTCCTCAAATTCGGCAAATGGAAACGCATAGCCGCGCCATACAGAAAATCCAGTTGATGCAACTGTTGAACACTGACAAGCTGCAGCGCACTGATGCAGCTGCCTGCCGCCACAAGGAGTTTGCCATCCCAATGCTGCAAATAAGTTGGAACTGTGGGCAATCGTGGCAGCACGTGCCTTGGTATGCTCTGAATCTCACACTCTCAATGTGCCAGCCCTTTCCGCAAAAAGTCGACACAACATTCCACCTCTGCTTTTTGCCCTTCCTTCCCCACACCTCATTCTTCCGACAGGAGACTCATGCGTCTGCCAAAGTTCCTGGCCCGTCTCGCAATGCCAGGCTTGAATGGTGCCACCCACTCGCGCATAGAGATGCCGCTGGTCGCATGCGAGGGCCATAATCATCTCAGAGGTCGTCTTCTGCCATGAGACGTCCTTTGCATCCTGCATTTGTGAGGCTCCCAAAAGCAAGAGCAGCGGTATTGCAAGAACGCTGTCCTTTGCCACGGCCGGGGTGTGCCAAACCAAAAGTTGAGAGGTCAGCCCGAGAACTTCGCTGGTTCGAGCGCAAAGTAGCTTCGTCCTTGCGAACGTCACACCGCCTGCTCACTGCCTGAATCTTGGCTGAATGGATGTCGCTTGCAAACAAGCTGCTCTTCGAAGTGCCTCGGACGTGTTGTCAATGTCAAGTCTTTAGTGTCCCAAGTTTGCTCATGTTCTCTCACTTCCTGGCGCATTTCGCTGCATGCTGGCCCCGAATGCCAACTGCAGAAAGGCTGCCAAATCCGGTCCACGGGCAGTGGCGTGCTGGCGTGCCATTGCGGCACGCCTGACTCCGCGTCCCAGGTGTAGACTCCCTCGAAGCAGCCCGCGCAGAGTGAATTCAGGCAATCCTTGGTTGCCAGGGGCAGTTTACAGATCCGGCTGAGCACAACAGAAAATGACATCCAAGAATCAACATAGTAGAGCGGCCGCAACAGCTTCAGGCCGGTCTGCCGCCGCCACTTCTCGCGGCCAGCACGATGCCAGGCACAGAGCACCGAGTCTTGAGTCTCCTGGGCTGCGGCCGGCGATTGGGCAAAGCGGTTCCCGGATGTCAAAGCTGGCATCTCGCTTTCCAAAATTCGGGGCCAGTCTCACAGGACATGGCGAAGACGGCTTGAAGGGCAGGCACGCACAGCACTGCATCCGTTGGGATGTCACTCGGCCAAGGCAGGAGCTCTCCATCACCTGGCCATGGGTCAAAATCCAAATCGTACCCCCCAGTGAACATCCCCATCCCCACTAAAATAGGCTCTAAAATGGGTGGTGCACCAACCAAACTGGGATCCCAAAACGGGTTTTGACCAATCACCGGAGCCACCCGGAGCCACCCGGAGCCACCCGGAGCCACCCGGAGCCACCCGGAGCCACCCGGAGCCACGGAAGCCGAGCTGAGTCTTGCTCAGGCGGCCAGCGGCCGCCGTTTCTGGCTGGGGTTGTGCCTTACCTTCGTCTACCAAAAGGGGTTTTGATTGTGGCTCTAGGTAAGCTAACTTCCCAGCTATTTATGGCAATGGGATCGTCCTTTACTGAGCTTCATCTACCCGAATCGGTTTTGAGCACGTGGCTCAGGCGAGGACCCCCGGCCTGTCACCGCCCAGGTGCCATCCTCGCAGGTGACACAGAGCCAGGGGCGGCGCAGGAAGATCTCACGGACCTGGCGGGGGTCCAAGCGAGAGAGAGTCAAGAATCGGTACCCAAAATGGAACCCTGGTAAATGGGAACATGGACTAAAACCTAATTGCTTAAATTTGACCCATACCCACATGGCTGTGGTTGTAAACCCCTGGTGAACATCAAAATAGGTGGCAAATGGATGTTCACCCCAAAATGTAGCCATAGGTTATGACCCATGGCCACATCGACCTACGGCCCGAAGCCGAAGCTGCCTGGGCCAAAGAGAAGGCGGCAAAGCCTGCGAAAAGCTTCGCAAGGCTTGGGGCAAGGTGCAGAACACAAATGGCTGTGGGTCACAATTAGGTACCCAAAATGGAACCCTGGTAAGAGGAAACATGGACTCAAGCCCGGTCACCTGGTGGTTGAATTTTGACCCATACCCACTCCAGCCTTTGGCTACTGCTGCCAGCCGAGCAGAGCGGGTTCCCAGCAATGGCACCAGCTGCTCCCCAATGCCATGGCAAGTCAGGGAGAACTGTAAATCCATTGGAGCCGCTCCGCTCAAGCTGTAAATATCAGCAATGTCGAGTTGGATTTAGTGGCACAACAAACCATGCATGTGTCCTAGCCACACAAACTCAAGCCCTTGCCGCCTAACATTGTGGCTTTAGAGCATCTGCAAGCTTTCCATATGAGCGTGTATGTGTGTGTGTATGTGTGTGTGTATGTGAGTATGTGCGTGTGTGTGTGTGTGTGTGTGTGTGTGTGTGCGTGCGTGCGTGCGTGCGTGCGTGCGTGCGTGCGTGCGTGCGTGCGTGCGTGCGTGCGTGCGTGCGTGCGTGCGTGCGTGCGTGCGTGCGTGCGTGCGTGCGTGCGTGCGTGCGTGCGTGCGTGCGTGCGTGCGTGCGTGCGTGCGTGCGTGCGTGCGTGCGTGCGTGCGTGCGTGCGTGCGTGCGTGCGTGCGTGTGTGTGTGTGTTGTGTGTTGTGTGTTGTGTGTTGTGTGTTGTGTGTGTGTGTGTGTTGTGTGTTGTGTGTTGTGTGTTGTGTGTGTGTGTGTGTGTGTGTGTGTGTGTGTGTTGTGTGTTGTGTGTGTGTGTTGTGTGTTGTGTGTTGTGTGTTGTGTGTTGTGTGTGTGTGTGTGTGTGTGTTGTGTGTTGTGTGTTGTGTGTGTGTGTGTGTGTGTGTGTGTGTGTGTGTGTGTGTGTGTGTGTTGTGTGTTGTGTGTGTGTGTGTGTGTGTGTGTGTGTTGTGTGTTGTGTGTTGTGTGTTGTGTGTTGTGTGTTGTGTGTTGTGTGTGTGTGTGTGTGTGTGTGTTGTGTGTGTGTGTGTGTGTGTGTGTGTGTGTGTGTGTGTGTGTGTGTGTGTGTGTGTGTGTGTGTGTGTGTGTGTGTGTGTGTGTGTGTGTGTGTGTGTGTGTGTGTGTGTGTGTGTGTGTGTGTGTGTGTGTGTGTGTGTGTGTGTGTGTGTGTGTGTGTGTGTGTGTGTGTGTGTGTGTGTGTGTGTGTGTGTGTGTGTGTGTGTGTGTGTGTGTGTGTGTGTGTGTGTGTGTGTGTGTGTGTGTGTGTGTGTGTGTGTGTGTGTGTGTGTGTGTGTGTGTGTGTGTAAGCGTGTATGTGTGTGTGTGTGTGCGTGTATGTGTGTGTGTGTGTATGTGTGTGTGTGTATGTGTGCATGTGTGTATGTGTGTATGTGTGTATGTGTGTGTATGTGTGTATGTGTGTGTGTATGTGTATGTGTGCATGTGTGTATGTGTGTGTATGTGTGTATGTGTGTATGTGTGAATGTGTGTGTGTGTGTATGTGTGTATGTGTGTATGTGTGTATGTGTGTATGTGTGTATGTGTGTATGTGTAAATGTGTGTGTATGTACATACGTACGTACGTACGTACGTAGGTAGGTAGGTAGGTAGGTAGGTAGGTGCATGCATGCATGCATGCATGCATGTATGGATGTATGATGTATGAATGTAGCAAGCACGTACATACGTATGTCTGCAGACGTACGACGTACTTGCGTGCATGCATGCACATAGGTACGTACGTATGTCTGCATGCGTGCGTGCATGTGGGTGGGGGTGAAGAAACACGAGTACTGCCACCTTGCAAACATGGCGAATCCCAGTGATCAGAGCTTCTGACCTTCCAGAAACTGCGGCTCTCAACGCAGTGATAGGTCAGTTGTGATCCGTGATCCAACGCCGCTCTGCATTTGGATCCTGGCAGTCAAGAGCTCGCCAGAGCGTGGGATACTCTCTGGCATCCACCTCAACTCTGGGAGTTGATGCTGGCCTCAGCAAAGCACTCCATGACGTCGCCAATCCAAAGCTTGTCATTGTAACTATCATTTCAAGCACCAGCTATGCTCGAATTGCCGCCTTTTTCAGTCAGCCTCCCCGTGCCAGCTCGCTGACTCATCGAAGCTCTCCTCACCAAGCATGTTGTAGAGGTCCTGGAAACCGCCGTACAAAGCTAAAAGATGCTGCCTCTACGCTTGGTTGCGGTTGACCCCCCTGCAAAAAGCTTAACTTTTTGGGGGTTTAGTGGAAAACCCCTTGATTGTTTACAAAGTTAAAGTCTGAAGATCCAACCCAATAGCAGTTAAGTACGTGCTCGGCCATCCAGAACCTTTCCACAGCCTCGTCCTCGGCCTCCCACTCGTCGTACGAGGTTGGCCTGTGCGGTTCGCCAAAACATGGGGCCTCTGGAAAGTAAAATCTGCCAAATGGCTGTGGGTCAAAAATAGGAATCCCCAAAATGGCTTGCCCTGGTAAATGGAAACATGGACTAAAACCTGCCGTCCAATTCCTGGTGGCTTCATTTTGACCCATACCCAAGTAGAGTTGCAGGCACTCTGCCTCAAATTGGAAAGGTGGCAAACCTATAGCTGGACCTTCTTTCCTAAGTCAGGGCAGTTAGCTTCATCAGATGCATTCTGTCTAGGAAAGGATATCTGGAATGGCACAAAGGAAAAGAATCCCGACATTGTGGCATGACAATTGGGGGCTACGCATTTGGGGGCTTCGTTGCGTTGGACATCTGGCAATCTTTACATTTGGGGGCTACGCATTGCGTTAACATGAAAAACGTTCTTACCATGGGTATCACCACTTTTCACGTACACAACGCTGCTCTTTGCAGCAATTCGGAACGAGACTGCACAAGCTGTATTGTGTGCTGTCAGACGTGATGAGAACTGAATTCTCCAAACCAAAAGGAGCTTTATATTGATTGTGTTCACAGAGACCTAACATTTGGTGAATCAGCCGTGCAAGTGTCGTTGCAGCGTGCTGCTCGCCGCTCGAGTCTGGGTGGTGGTGGCTCTTTGGCATCAGCATCGCCCGCTGTTGGCTCTGCAACATCCCCAGCATCGCTCGCAGCCTTCAGCGCCCTGCAACATCCTCAGCATTGCCTGGTGGTGCCTTCACCTTTGCTTCAAATGGGGGGATTCGCGAGCGCCGCGGCAGGCACGCAATAGCATCTAACAATATGCATGCATGCAGGAGCTCTCACGAGAGCCTTCCTGCTCTGCAATTGGTCTATCACCCGGGATTTCATCTAGACTGCAAGTGCAAATGCTAGATCTCGATCAACATTCGATTCCAATGAAGTAAGCGCTGCCATGTTTTGGTAAACCTGCAATTTGAAGGGAAACACGATCAACTCCATCACATCCAGCCCCATATTGCTGAGCTGAAGCATGACAACAAAGTGTCAAACCAAGCTGCCATTCGCTTAAGAAACTTAGCACTGAAACACATGGCCATGGGTCAAAATCCCGGTTACCCCCGGTGAACATTCCAATCCCCACTAAAATAGGTTCTAACATGAGTGGTGCACCCACCCCAAAATGGGATCCCATTGGGGTCAACACCAATGACACCATTTTGGGGTAGGTGCACTGTCTATTTTAGTGGGGATTGGGATGTTCACGGGGGGTACGATTTGGGTTTTGACCCACCACATCAGAAAATAGCTAAGGGGCCTCTGGACCTGCATGTAGTCATGCCAGGATCCGAACTCCTCCACGATGCCCCCCTCGCTGCGCATGGTTTGGATGTCCGAATCTTGGCCTTCTTCACCTTGGTCCATTGGTTGGGGTGGTACATACTTGGGCAAATGAACCCCTGAGAGGCCTGCTGATGTTCATACCCCTCTTTGCAAAGTGGGTTGGAACCCAGGGAAGCCAAGGAACCGGTATGAACAAGGGGTATCTACTTCCACCCTTAGATTGGTTGCAAACGCTTGAGTGCATTGACTGCGCCATGCGAAGCTCCGAATTCCATGGCGAGTCACTGGTGGGGCTGTAGAACAGCAGGCGATCAGGATGAACGCTGAAGACCCCACCGTGTCTGGCCGTGGGCAATACCACTCACCAATCGTCGGGCAGTAGCCACTTTACAAACATGTGATGTCATCTGCATGTGACTAGCGCTTGGAAAACTGCCTGCCGGCAGTGCGCACATTGGTAGGCCGAGTTCCTTGAATATTGTGTCTTTGCCTGCCTGCAAGTAGGTTCTGATGGAAACCAAGTCTAAAGACGTTCTTCTAACACTGCAACACCCGCACTCAGAGTTCTGAAACTCAACTTGCCAACAGCTCAGCCCAATGCACTTCGGGGCAATAGGCAGCGTGTGATGCAAAGCCTTGGGCTCAGGATACACAGAGAAATGGCACGGGAAGGAAATGCTGAACGAACCAGGGTGGAGGGAGAACGAGCCGACGGGGGAAGGGGCGGGGTGCAGGATGGGCGGCAACCAGGGCGTTTCAAAGGCAGATCGCCCAGTCAGAATGGATGTGCAGAGGTGATTCAGCCGGGTTGTTTGATAGCTATCATGACATGTGTTGGACTGTGAAGATGCAATTAGACGTGGCTTCAACCCAGAGCGCGCTCTCGAAGCACAGAGCCTGCTGATGAGAAATCTGGAGATGGCATAGTCCACTTGGCTGCTGATCCTTGAGCCGAGGCTTCCAGAAGCTGGCCATGATAGCCTGGCCTGTTGGCCTGTCAACCTTTCCCAGTGCCTTGAAGTACGAGGCTAACTCTAGATCTCAACGTGCAGCTCTCTGCCAAGGGCGAGAGACCATCTGAGTCATAATCAAAACCCGGTATTAACATGGTCCACCCAGAACCATGTAAAGAAATAAGAAGGCGGCCGCAGCTATTTATGGTTGGGATTGTCCCTCACTAACCGTCATCTACCCGGGCTTTGATTGTAGCTCACCTGAACTTTGCAAACCCAGCGGCGGGAAGAGATTCTTGACCAGCGACGCTGCAGCCTCCTTCTTCACCATCCAGGCATACAAGCCCCAGGAATGATCATGAATCTCGAAGACTCGCTCCTCTCAATCTGAGACAAGTATCCGATGGTTTGCTCAGATAGGGTAGTGGCCTATATTATATTGTCATAGACTGTCAGGTTTACGTGTGAAACCCGCAAAGTCCAAGGTGCAAAAAGTTAAAACTCAAATCCGGTCCTTTCCAAGCGGGTCAGGCTTAGGAACTGATCCACTTGCATTCACGGCAAGAGGATGAGGACATCCATATTTGTTATGGTACCCCAGGAAAACTGCTGTCCAGTGTTCAGGCAGTTGTTCCAGGATCTCAGCCAGTTTGTGCTGAACCTGAGGAACCACCAGAGACACGTCATCTTCCAGGATCAGCCCCCATTGTGCTGTCGGGTGCTCCGCCACCAGCTTTAGCGCCTTGCGATGAGACATCGCACAAGCGATGGCGCCCTCGGTGAAATGGTCGTCAAAGTTCAGCAAGTTGTTCTCCTGGGTATGGGTCAAAATTGAACGCCCAGGGGACCGCAGGTTTTAGCTGTTGTTTCAAGTTACCAGCGCAAGCCATGTTGGGGTTACCCAATTTTTGACCCACACCATCCTCATCGTGCACGATGCTATACAGGCCCATGCGCTTGGCGCGCCTTGCCCGGCTGAGGGCCTGAGGTTCGACCACATTGCTCGCTGCGGCAGAATCCAAGGAGATGTTCGTGCCATCGACGGCATCAACACGCTGTAGCCTTTGCAATAGCAAGGGATTCGTCGCTCCCAGGAGCTCATGGAGACGGGCCAGGCGGTCAGGCCGTCGGGCGAGGTTGATGACATAGGCACACCAATCAGTTCCCCCGATGGAACCGTCAACTTTGGCAGCACGAGAGCTGCGTTGCGTAGGCCTTTTCTGCCACGCGGATGCGCAGAAAGTGAGAGCGCTGATGGATTGGACATCTCTCATGGCCTCTCCACCTCACGCGACGTTTGCGCAGCGAAAATACTTGCAGTGTCATCACTTCTGAGGCCGCGGCTTTGATGCTGTAGCAGGATGCCAAGGCCCGTCATGAACATCAATCGAGCCTGAAATTGACAATGACGTGTTGATATACAAATCCTGACAGAACTTCCTTTCTAGAAATCCCAGCTGCATCTCCTCGCTGGTCCACCAACTGTGGACTCCAAATTGCAGATTGCCATGGTTGTGGAAAAGTATAGAATATTTCGAGGTTGGTAAAGCCATAGGTATTTCATGACAATGTTGAACAGTTGCGCGCGTTGCGATTTGTTGGTGGTAGGATATTGCACATGTGATGTTTTATTTTGAAAACAACTGTTTGCGTATTTGGAGCTTACAAGGATAAACAAGAATACCACGCTGATACACCCAGGACATGTTGTTCGATTCCGAAATCCTAGAATAGCTTTTCCCTCCTACGTCCGAAGGCACACCTAGGGCTTCGATCAACTTCAGCAAGTTTAACCATGGTGCTTCGTGGTACTGCAGCATCAGAAAAGGCAGACAAGTGCGGATCTGCTGGTGTACGTCCTACTCTTTGCCAGATATTTGGACCACCCTTGAAAATTCTGCAGACTTGTGTGAGGTCCGTGAGCAACTCGTATCTTTTGCCACCCGCTTGCCCAAACCACTTTCAGGATGTCAACAATTAGGACGACAAGCAAAAACCTTTTCAGTTCGCTTTCTGTTCGGCGCTCTGTTTCTGGTCATCAAAGCTTCGGCATAAGCTTAAGGCCAAAACGGCAGGGTTGTCACACCCGCTCATGCGAAAGTCCCTGGGTTCAATCCCCAGTGTGTCCAACCCTGCACCTTGCTTGAATCGCCAGCTAACTTCCCAGCTGGCAGGGCTTCCTGGATTAAACTGGCAGGAAATCTACTGATCAATAAAGTGACCACCTGACCGAGGAGCTAGCTAGCTAGCTAGCTAGCCAACTGGCTACGCAACTGATTCACTAAGAAGCCAACTAGCTAGTAGGCTGGCTAATTAATGATTGGCCTAGCCAGCTAGCTAGCCAGCCAACTTTCGCATATCGCAAAAACGATTCTCAAACCCTAGCGATTCACTGCTGTGAACCCCGCCCCCCGGCTTTTCTGAAGTTGCAACAAGCCTGGTGGCGTCCAGAACACTCAAGAGAAAAATCCAAGTCCCGAGCACGTTGAGCACGCGCAGACCGCACATTGCAAAATGCTTGGAATCTCTGGCAAGAAGCTCTTGCAGCTGCTCGATTCCGCACGGTCATGGCGATTCGCACATCCAACCCCCTGCAGTGCAAAAGCCGAAGTACGGAACGGCGCGGCAGATCGCCTTGAGCCCAGAGCTGGTACCATCATCTCCAGGAATATCGGAAAATATATATTGCTGCAAGCTGATACTAGCCACAAGCCACACGGTGTCCATACACCAAAGTGGCATTTGGGGTCCCCACTCCCCGGCAGAGGGCAAACCCAGGCCACGAAGCACGAAGTACAGCGAGTCCTTGCGCAACGCGGATACGCCGTCTGAGTTGGGACGAGGCGCTCCTTGGATTCGGGGATCCTAGAGCACAGCTGCCGCGCCACGGTCTTGGCATCGTGCGGGTCCAGCTTCCTGCAAAATGTCAGGGAAATCTGACAAGCAAACAAAAAACTGAAACTCTGGGGGTATCCCTGCATCCAAGAAGCTTCACAACGGACTGCTCCTGCAAAGGCAGAGGTGGCTCAAACGTCACAGGCACCGTTCGCGACATCATGCTGCAAGTCTCGCGAGGCCTTGTTTCGGAACAAACGTGACGCAGGAAAATCAACAGCCCAGCTTCTATATCAGCCTTGCAATTCCCAACATGCATGGGTCAGGACAATCCTTTGGTGGGTCTATTCGAGCTATTAATTATTATGCCATCAAGAGAAAGCAAATGGCATTACACGACCGTAATGCGCCTCCGCTTCCATGCATCTAGCTGGTCCTCTATATGTGCAAGAATATCCTTGTCACTGCTTCGAATGTCATTTGCTGTGATTGTTTACGGATAAAGTCTGCCAAGGCTTCTCAAAAACTAGGTCATTGCCATTCCTTTGCATTTGAATAAAAATGAGCTGTTCTGCAAAAGCCTCACTGGCTTGCTCCTGCCAAGCTGTAAGCCACAAAAATGGCAAGGCGGTGGATGCTCAACCGCGCGGAGCATTTGCCTTCCAGTTTTTATAGAAAGAGGCTGGCTGGGGTGTGGCTTAGATAAGATCGCCTGTTTGCAGGACTTGCTGTTCCGCCTAGCGGGACATCGGCTTCGCACCTGGTCGTTCTCGGAGAGGCCGAAAATCCAGGGCGCTAAGAAGCGCTCTTTGGCTTCCACCCACAGCTGCTCCAGCCGTTCCCTACCTCAGTCGACGCGACGCGCGGAGCATCGGAAGGGATGAAATTGGGGCAGTCGCTGATGGCCGAGTGAAGGCTGGATTTCCCGGAGGACCTGACAACCGCCTCTGGCGGCATCTGGAAACAAATGCTGCATGAGTCCCAACTAGTAGATTTGTAATATATGGAATGAACAATTGAATGATTAATTGAATACACATACTGCAGAAAAGAACAAACATTTTGCAGCATTGACATGGATCACTTTGGTATTGCAAAACAGCAGACAGGCAGGCAGCACGCGAGGTTGAAGCGCAGCTTTCGGGCCGTGGACGCGATGAGCTGCTCCCCCGGCTGGAGCTGCTCCTCGTCGCGAGTCTGAGAGGTGCACTCCGACAAACTGCGCGCTGCGCGGCGCCCGAGGCCACGGCATCGCTGACGTGACACCTGACCTGAGATGCCGAAGGCCAGGGGGTCACCGACACCAAATGCCCGTGGGTCAAAAATCGGGTCGCCCCAAAATGGCTTGCCCTAAATGGCTTGCCCATGACGAAAACCTGCGGCCCAGATCCTGGACTAACTTTGACCCACACCATGTCTGACACCGAGAATTCCTGCCAAGATTCCCAGGCCACAGGCCCCACGTCCAGCAGCTCCTCTACTGCCTCAGTGGTTCGCTCATGTGACGCTGGTCCTGTGATGCCGGCGCCGGCGTTCTGCCCAAAGATCAAGTCGCCCAAGCCGTCCGGCAGAACCTGCCAGGCGCTCAGACCGACTTGGCAAGCGGAGGCATTGAGCGCCAGATTCGAGGTGGCTCACTGCAAAAGCCGTGCCTTCAGAATCCGTGGTTTCTGTGATGCAGCTTTAAAAAGTTTGACTTCCTTCTGTCGGTGCTTCAACATCTCTCGCAACTGTCACACCCACCAGCGTGAAGACGAGGCAGTATCCAGCAAGGCCCTGGCAAGGTGCGGGTGTCTCAGAAACATTGGCGTCACAAGCTGCGACCATTCAAAGGTTGGCACTGAATGACTTTGAGTGACTTTTCTGCAACGCCGTGCATACATATATATATATATATATACATGTATATATATATATATACATATGCATACTATATATGTATATATACACATATGAGTTCACACTGACCGAGCACGGGAATTCACTTCGGCGACGTTTAGGACATAGACGGCGGAGAGCGGAGTCGGAGCTGAACATGAAGAACAGGACTCGGGTGTTGGCGGGCCTTTGGCGCTTTGGCGCTTTGGCATGCCTCCGACCAGGGGGGGTTTTGCGACTGTGCACCGGGACTTGGATCCGTTGGAGGGACTTTATGCAGTGGCCGAGGCTGAGGGATTAAGGTGGAGGTGGTCACGGATGCTGAAGGCAGGGAGGATGTGGGCGACCAGGATGAGAAGCAGGTGGCAGAAGACGCGGGGTATGAGCTGATTGCGGGTGTGATCCAGAAACCCTCACGTAGGGTGCCAAGCACGGAGGTCTGGCGGCTTACACCTCCGACCCTAGCTGAAGGGATGAGGATCCATGCAATGAAAAAGGAAGAATGGGAGGCGAAGAAGCACTTCAATATGATGAAGATAGTCAAAGAGCGCAAACAACGTCTTGATGCAGAAGGAGCGGGAGGATAGCAGTTGGCGTTCGGAAAGGAGTTGAGAAGAGTGGCGGACGAACAGGAGAAGAGGAGCCCAAAGCAGAGATGCGAGAGGCTACCCGTCAGGATCATGGTGGAGGAGAACGTGAGCAGGTCGAGCTCCTGCAAACGAGGACCGTTCCGCTAGAGGAGGTGAGAGCGGAAAGCGAAGATGCCAAAGCAGCAGCTGGGATGTATTTAGCCCGAGGGCTCGTTGAACAAGCCATCGTTCGTTGCCTCCTACCACACCAGCCGCCACCAAGACTACCACTCGACGGCCTTGACAAAGGGGAGCTAAGAGGAAGAAGCAGGTTTAACGTCAAGCGTGCCCAGCTCGTAGCACATCAGGATGCGCGACATAACCGAGTCGGGCCCAACCGCGAACGTTTCCGCCCTGCTTTCCTAAGTAGCCGCATCTTCCAATTGGTCGCCGCATTTCTCCTGCCTTCTGCGTAAACACCACCTCGCAAAAGACTGGACCGTTTACAGAGACCAAATGATGGCCAAGGTCACGTGGAAGACGGGCGAGACGATGATGGTCATTCAGAATCTCTGGGGAGTGATCACGGAGAAGGGGGCAACCAAAGGGTACATCCTCGTGTATGTAAGCACTGAAGACGGCAAGCGGTTGGTGGAGGAGTGCAAGTGGGCTTCCTAATTTAGCAGTTGATGTTTTTGGATCTGTACGTGGAGTTGAAGGACATCCCAGTTTAGATGGAGGTGTCCGATAAAGAGCTGCGGGTTGCTCTGGGGCGAGCCACAACAAACGAGGCCCAACATCTCGTTCGCGGCGGATCAGCCCGCCGGGCCTTTGCGACCTGTGCAGCAGAAGGAATGGAGGGTGGAGTTCATCGGGGAAACTCCTCGTCACAAAGGCCGTGGGGATCCTCGAGGGAAAGTTGGGCGACCATGAAGCTTTTTGTGGAGGGTATCAGGAAGGCATGGGGGTGGCAATCGATGAGAAGCTGGTGGGGGAACCATCGGCGAAGGCGGTACTCGACGAGGGGGTCGATGCCAAGATCTGGCGATGAGCCTGCGTCCCTTCAACCTTGGAAGAAGCGCTGGATCTGCAGGGGCACAAATGAACGTCTACGTTGACGATGGCATCACCACCCCTCGCCTGATGCAGTCAAAGAGCTGGTTGGCAGTGAAGGAGGAGAACGGCTCCGAAAAGAGGAAGGAAGTCAACTCTGTGGACCGAGGGTTTAATTTTTGCTCGATCCGTCTTTTAGCACGGCTGCAAGGACATCCAGGAGGAGTGTGTACATAAAATCCCCCTCACACGGTTGGCCCAAGAAACGAGCACAGCGCGGCTTGGCACATATAGATACAAATGCATGCATAATATCAATATGTATGCACAGTCCAGCTACAATCATAGGTGTGTACTGTGCACTCAAGCAACCGCCTCGCACTGCGATGAGGGCTGGCTGTCTTGAGTGCCTCGGCTCTGCACTCACGTGGTACATGTACCCTCTGCCAACTGCCGTAGTGTTTCGGCCAAAAGCAAAAAGCCTTCAATCCACCTGACACTTCACACTTTGTGCTTGCAAAAGTAGACATTAGCTGTGCCATCATTGACGCGAGTTCTAGGGGAGTCAAGCATCAGTGGTTTAGCCCAGTCGCAAATCGAGCTGAGAACCACTGAGCGTGTGCTTCTGGGCACAAAGCGAGAGGCGCGCAAGCAAACGGAACAAAACCGCCACTTCAACGGAACGAAACAGGACTCCGTTTTAATTTGTTTCACCCAAAATACCTCTTGTCAAGGGAGCGCTCTCCAGGTTGAGGTTCGAGGACAGTCAGTTCGAAAGGGGGTCGAGTGGGGTTTGAAGTATCGCGCGGAGAGTGTCACAAACACGCAAATTAGCCACAACGTCGGTCTGCAGGAACCTCAAAACGAACACGTCTAGCAGCGCTGCTAAAGTAGTGATGTTTGTGGACTTGGAAAAGTTTGTACCCCAACCCGCCAAACCCATCTCAAGTACTGGCAACACACCGGCATTCAAACCACTCAGAAAATGAGATAGCCATCTGTGGCATGCATTCCAACTTGACCACATGGCTAAGTAAGAATTGCAGGCCGAGCTTCTCGAGGCTGCTTCAAGGCCAAGCAATGCGCTGACGGCAGGGTCCTGCATGGTGTCGGTCCAAGCGGACAACAAGCCAGCCGCTTGGACACGGTTGATGTGTCATGCATCACTGAGGTACTAGTGGTACTAGAGCATCTTTCGCCTGAGGTCCACGCACCTGCAAAGTCACCAAAGAGCGAGGCTGAAGGGCCAAAGTGGAGTGCTTGACAGAAGCTCTCCTGCTGCTGGCGCTGTGCCCATGCCAGCGCCATCTCTAAATGCTTGGACACCGAACTCGCCAACTTGAGGACTTGTATGTACTGGTCTTGCTCTAGCCAACCGCTGACTGCTGTGGGCTAGGACACTGCAAGGCTTCTCTTCGGCCACTGCCGAGCAATGCTTGGCTACTGCTCGGTTACTTCTGCTCTTCCTAGACTGCTGCCAAGCACTACCAGGTTACTTTGAACCTTCTGCTTCCGATTGCAATCCACCGTGGTCCAACAGGTGAATTTCAAGAAGTATATAGGGGGTGCAAGGTCATTCAAACGATGGAGCAGCTGTCCCGTAAACTCTCTCTCTCTCTCTATCTTCTCTCTTAACTGGCTGTCGGAACAGGGTGGCAATGTCTGATAGTGCAACAAGAGCATGTGAAAAGGGGTTCAAAAAGAACCTGTTCCTCTGGATGCCTCAGCTTTGGTAAGCATGAAGACACGGCTCTCAAATCCAACACCTAAAGGAAGCAGGTAAGCGTCGGTTCTATGGAGCATAAGCGATACGAAGTATCCGCGACATTTGCCAGCGGGTCGCTTTGCTTGTCGAAACAACTTCACAAACAGCTGCAAGAGCTACTCAAAGATTGCATACTTGCCCACGGCCTGGAAATACGCACAAGCTCTGGAGCGACGAAACTTTGGGCATCCCAAAAATACACGGTTGTTGACATTGACATGTTGTAGAGCAGACCTTGCAAACTATTGCTCATGTCCAGTATGATACGGTGTGCCTTCGGCTCTCAAGCATTCACAGGGACCAAAAAGACAAATCACCGGTTCGCATCCTCAAGATACACCTGGGGACCACAACAACTGGAGAACTGAGAGGCTCTGGACCTTCTGATTCCGCCAGAGTTCGACATCCCAAACTTGATTTTGGTGCTTTGCAGGTTCGGGAACTGTTAAATGCAGGCCGTTTGGAACATTCATCCAAATCTGGGTTGATTACTCATTTGCGTTCTTGGGCAGCGTCTCCAGCATTCAAGTATATGGAAGTGTTTGTACCTTTTCATGTGCTGCACCAAGAATCAAAACTTTCCAAAAGTGTGTGTACCCGGAATCAGAAACATGTTGGCAGGGCGGATGAGAGTTCTTGAGGACAACAATTTCAACAAAATGGCTTTCAAGCACTGGTATCGACTGGACTTTCACATGCTATGTGATCATCCACAAGTGTGCTCATACTGAAAGGTGGGCACTGGGGTATGACAATACATGAATACACATAACCCGCCAATTTGGCCAAAAGGGCAGGCGCACGGGGAGGAGTACAGTTCATCCCAGCACTTGCATGTTCTGTCCTGTACCGCCGACCCCCTGACCTAGGCAAAATCTGAAGAGTATGAGAGTCCAGGAGTGCCAAGGTAGACATACCCCTTTTACATACCCCTTGGACAAATGAACCCCTGAAAGGCCTGCTGATGCTCATACCCCTCTCCCCAAAAGGGGTATAGACCCCTTACAAAGTGAATTGGAAGCCACGGAAGCCAAGTGGTATGAACAAGGGGGTATGTACTTCCACCCGTAGAGAGTCGCTTCCGCATGTTTTTCCCCTTCCGGGAAGAGCCTTGGGCGGTCGAGGCAGAACGGATTCGTCATTCTTTTCAGCCTCTCTTCGAGCCGCTTTGGCACAGGCCGAGGCAGAGCAACTTTGGAACTTCAGGCTGCTCATGTGCCCTTTTGCGGGGCGTGCGCAACCATGGAGCTGCTTCCCAGGTGACATTTTCATGATTCCAGTGGCCTCAACTCCTGTGTTTTGTGGCCATTGTAGGTACGCCCGCAATGCTCTGTCCATCAAGTTGGCCATGGACAACACGATTCCAGAGTTTCAACATGTGCATTTCAGCCAGCGCCTTTGGGCGTGTGGCGCGGACCATGGGTGAAACACTTGCGTGAGTTTGAGGTGCAGACTGCCTAGCCGACTGGCTTGAAGTTTGCGGCCTTCCCGGGTAACGAGCGTGCATCCAAGCACCCGGGCAAGATGCTGCTTGGCCCGAGAGAGAGAGAGAGAGAGAGAGAGAGAGAGAGAGAGAGAGAGAGAGAGAGAGAGAGAGAGAGAGAGAGAGAGAGTTGTGCGGCTGGAGCTCGTAGATGAAGGTTAGTAAGCCTTCTTAATCCTGTACAGTTCTGGGATTACGACCATTTTGGTACCGATCGGTTTTGATTGCGACTCAGCTGACTTGCGGCGATGCGACGGTTGAAAGCCATGAAAGCAGCTGCATCTTTCTGCCGTGAGGATCCAGGCGCCCACACCTTCGAGGCGATATATCGCGCATGGTACAGAACGTAGGGTCGCTGGTTGGGCAGAGCGGATGTACAGTGAGCTGATTGAAAAGAATATTGCTGGGTTCTCTGATGGCGCAATGGTTTTGCAATGCATCCATTTCAGCTTTACTCCTTGCGTTGATTTGGGGTGAGTGTGGGGTCGATAGTCGACCCTGGGACTGGTTTGTGGCCAGGTAGCTTTTGGGTGGGCAAAAATGGTTTCCGGCTGTATGCAATCTGCTTTTCCTTGTCAGAGAGCTGGTCTGGTCAAGTTTTGTTGCGTGGTTCAGGCGTGTTTAGAGTTGGATTAGGATTGGTGCGTAGCAAGATTAGGCTTCCGGTTTGGTTTAGGGTGGGATTAGGGATGCTTTCAGGTTTGGTTTAGAGCATGTACAGGGTTCGTTGTCTGAGGGTAAACTTAGAAATGCAATTGACACTAAATGTTTTGCTTCTCAAAGCACTGCTCCCACCGGCACGTTGTCAGGTCTTTTTCGCACCAAGCCTTGCCGGTCCGTGGCAAAGACCTCACTGCGGCGCGGAACGACTGGAACCGCTGGAACGCCGGACATAGGATGTCTCGTTTTGGCCAAGTGGCACAAACCTCCCGGTCATTCAGCGAATGCCAGCGTCGGTGAAATCTGCAAGGTAGCCTGGGCTGCTCAAACGGCAACTGCTGCGGTTTTTGAAATTTGAGGTGTCGAAGGAAAAGTTGACATTAGCGTGAACACTGTGCCATCATCTGCCCTCAGCCCTTGCAAAAAATAATGTTACCTGAAAATTCCCTGTCCAGCAGACCCCAAAACAGTGTCCAGCGTCCTCCCTGCTACCTGCCACAAGAAGCCATTCTTCTCGCCGCGCGGGTGATCGAGCACCTCCCGCTTGCCTGTCCGCATTCATCAGACGATGTTGTAGGGCTCGCCAAAGCGGACGTTTCAAAAAATAATGCTGGGCTAGTCCAACCCCTGCCTAGACGAGATCGCTCAGCAAGTGTTCCGAAGCTGGATGAAGTCTGCAACCTGCCATGCGTGAATGCAGAAGCGCTTGCGCAGCTCAGGCGTGAATCCAGCCTATTGCCTCATCCCGGATCCCTATTCAGCCTATTCATCCATTCCACCCGTTGGCCCCTGCTTCTGGGCGCAGCTCCCAACTCGCCCTCCACACGGCTACTCAAATTGCAAGATTGCCAGGAATGCTGGGGATGCGAACGGGTGCAGGTGATGCTGGCTTGCCAGAAATGCAGTGCGTGCATGCATGCTTTTCAGTGGAAAAAAAACTGTGCGTGTCCGCTTTTGGGGGAGGGCCTACCATATATAATCTATTCACACTCTTGGTAGCATGGTAGCATGCACACAAATTTACATGGCTTGATGACCCTGCGACTCGCTTGGGCAACCTTCGACGGTGCCTCGAAACTGATTGTGCTGGCAGTCGTCAGCTTCTTGGCCGGTGCCCCTGTGCTCCAAGCGATAAGCACGCGCGTTTGCCGTCGCCTTCGTCATGATGAAGTACATAGCACCCCACAGAACCGTCCTCACGTGCACAAACACACCGCTTGGCCAAACGGGGCAGCAAGGTCAGTAAGCCACGCCTCAACTGGCGCAAATATTCTTTACAAGAAACGAGTTCTGACAACTCGAAATCCGCATCCGTCTCGATTGGAACGTAAGCAGCTAGATGGAGGGCAGCTCGGAAAAATGATACCAGGTTCAAGCAATGTCTGCATGCACAGACTATTGGACTGAGCGCTCGGAAGTCTATCATCTGCTGACCGCAATGGGCATCATCGATTTTTGGGGAGGCTGGCACGAAAGCCACAAAAAGCACGCTGAATCAATCAAACACTCCAGAGCTACCAGTAAAATGACTCACCTTCGTCGCCTGCATCCCTTGGTCAGCCTTGGCGAGTCACATGCGATTCACTTGGCAGTGTGACAACAGGGAAAAATGGCTATGTACTGCGCATCAACGATCATCCCACGGCATCCATGATCCGTGGGCTGCCCCGTAGCAGCAGTGCTGCCAATTGCGTTCGGGGCATCATTTCGAAGGACGGAAAAGGCCGTGCATCCTCTTGCGATTCCCATTCAGAAGCTTCATCTCACCCCAGGAAGCTGCTGAGCACCTAAAAATCATACACTCCAGGCAACTTGGATTCCGGCTGCCGTTGCTTGCTGCCAGCTTGTTTTTGTGACACTGACGCTTGAGCACCATGCGCCAAAAATCGGCCCTCGCTGACTCTGAGGCTGGCTCCGGCTTCAGGCTGCGCTCATGGCCACTCTCATCACAGCCTCATCCCAGGCTCGCTTCACTGGGCCTTGATCCTGGCAAGGCGTCTCATCCCAAGCTTCGCGCGAACATGTTGGGCCAGTGTCATCTCATCCCAACTCGGTAAGTGTTTAACGTTTAGTGGTTTGATGGAAAACCCATTAGTTGGCAACAAGTTAAAGTCCTGACATCCAAGCAAAATGCTACAAAGCCAAATGCAAACTCAATGATTGTCTACGACTACGTCCTTGCCAAGGCGGCAGTACTCCGCGAAGTACTCGGCAATGTCCCCTTGAAAGGTGTGAAGCGGCTGCCAATCCAATTCCTGCCAGACACTGTGCCCCTGCTGCTGAAACCATTGGCGGTGCTCTACATATTGACTCGACGCCTTGCTTGATGGATTGTTGTTCTCTGTCAACACACGTGTGCCAACAAATCTGGCAGTTGCTTTTGCTCGCAGCACTGTAGTTGCGTTACCTCTTTTCTTTGTACGCGCTTCGAAAGCCGCATTGATTCCACCTGTTTCACTTTCCCAGTGTCTTGACTTGCAATCCGTGGTTTCTGCTCCCCGCGTATTGGCATCTTGATTCCTCTGATTGAGGCTTGGTTTGCTACATCCATCTAAGAAAAAGATGTTCGAGTCTGGCACCAATGCTTTCGGATCATGATATACGGCTTCTCAGGCAGCTGGTGCTGCAGCCCTTTTGGTGACATGCATCACTTCGATTGCACAATGATCCAGTGGGCAAGGCTTGCGACGACGCTGGTGTCTGCCACTTGATCACGGGGGTCACTTGGGTTACTTGGGCCACTGCTCAAGAAATCCCTGGCGAATAGAGAATATGAAGGCCGTGCAAGGCTGGTGCAGCCCCCAACATGTTCTCTTCAACTGCCAGCTTCCAAATGATGCACAAGGGCATGCGAATTTCATGAAAAACAAGAAGGGCCTCACTGCGTCTCTGAGTTAACAAAGGGGGCCTTTCGGGATTCTCCGAACAGCACCACATCTGACCACATCTGACCACAGCAGACCCTGCGCCCAGACCGGTGCCCGGCCGGTGCCTGGCCTTCATCGCTTTCTTCACCGACACGCCGAAGTTGGTCTCGCGGAAAGGGAACTTGCCCTCCTTGGGAAGCTCCAGGCCCTTCCTGGGAGCGGGTGAGCGGGTGCCCCCCATGAAGGGAAGTTCAAATCGGCAACTGGGACTACTGCCACGGCAAAAGTTGGAAGACAACTTTGGACTCCTGGTGTAACCAAGCCTCAAGGCAGCTGGGTCATAGAAAACCACCTTGGACAACACAGCTTTGGCATCCTTTCCCAAGGCTGTTGCGATCACCTGCACGACTTCTCTGTGGGATAGGAGCTCGTTCCCAGCGCAGTTGAAGATCTCGCCCTTGGCCTCCGCCTCCTTTCCAACGACGCTGGCCATCATGCCCGCCACGTCCTCGGCATTGGTCAAGGTCGTGAACAGCGAGCCATCTTTGGGAAGCGGGAAGGGCACATCCCGGGTGATGCGGTCCAGGAACCAATCGATGTAGTCCCGCTTATTGGTCTTTGGGCCGTAGATATACTGAGGTCGAAAGGCGCACCAGTTGAGCCCAAGGCCTCGCGCATGGTTCTCAATGGATAGCTGCTTGTTGTCCAGCTTCACAGCTCCCCCTTCAACGAGGGCACCATCTTTGGGCACCGGCAAATACATACCACCAGAGCTCACATATGCATACACCTTTGGGTTCCAAGGCTTGACCAAGTTTTGGACATCCTTGGGGCACACATTCTCGTTGTCGAAGACATACTCGCAGGGCTGCACTCCCTGGATGGCTGCAGACAAGCCTCCACCCAGATCTGCCACTTTGATGTCCACGCCCGCTTGAACCAAATCATTGTAGCAGTTGAAGGGCGGCTTGTCCTGCTTGCAGGCGCTGTCCTGGATCATGGTGACCTTGAGTCCCTTCTCTTTCGCCAGTTTCAGCGCCAGGTGGTACCCGATCTCTCCGTGCCCCCCGCCTTTGTTCTGCACGATGAGCGCGCCGGCCGCCATAGCCACCAGCGCCGCGACGCCGCAGCCATGGCCGGCCCCGGCCCCCGGCGCCGGCGCCGGCGCCGGCGCCGGGAGGCCCCGCCAGCGGCGCGGCGGCCTCGCGCGCGCGCGGCGCGCGGCGCGGCGCGCGGCGCCACGGGCGCCACGAAGGCCACGGCGGCCGCCGTGGCGAGCGCCGCCAACAAGCAGCGCGCCATGGCGGTGGATCTGCAAACGCTGCGAGAGCAGAAGGGGAAACGCGCAGCAGCTGTCAGCGTTCATGGGCTTGGTATGAACAAAAGAAAAAGGAGGACGAGGCATGCAAAGGAGACAATGCTGGGTCAGTGCAATCGCAAGCTTCTGCAGCGTTTGCACATGCAGCACCTGGGGACCCTGCTCAGGTTTGGCCCTGGAGCTCTTCCAGGATAAGGTCTCGCTGGCATCCGACCAAGTCAGGCCTTTTGCACCTGGCAGGTTTGCAGGCCTTTGCGAGCGGACCGATCATGCTACTGCTCAGGCAAAGGCATTGCATATAGTTCGTCCACAAGCCATCATCATCCACCAGCCTCGCCACTGGGAAACCCCGCTCAACGTCTCCAAAAACACTCAAGTGGACAACTTGAAGTCGCTACCGGTACGCCGAGATGTGAAGAGCTTCACAGTGGTCAACTGCTATCTGTCCAAAGTGCGCACACAAACAAAATGACACAAGAATGCTTCCAAAGATGTCTTAGGTGTGTTTGTACCGTTGCAGGCAATCTGATACAGTGTGTACGCGTTTACATATGTACATATATATATATATATACATATATACACATGTATGTATGGACAGCCTACCTTTCACGAATATTGGTTTTGTGTTTTGAGGATTGGTGGACACTTGGCAGGGTCAAGGTCGACATCTGCCCTTTACAAAGTGCATGACTTACAGAATACGTACATATCCGCAGAATGCTCCTGTTGAAACTTGCTAAGGTTTAACATGCAGTACGTCTCAAATCTTGAATCAGTGCTCCAGGCCAAGATGCTTTGGAGTTCAGGTGTTAATCACAAAGTCACATTTATATAGTTAAAATGAGTGTAAAATTATCTTGTCCTGATTAGTGCTAAGATGTGCTAGCACGTACTAGCACATCCTGGATTGCAGATTGAAACGTGAAGATTCGCATAATATTTTGTCCGTATGCTAACAGGATGTACTAACAGGGGTTGAAGATTGAAGATTTAGGAATGATGTGCTAGTGGGATGAGCTATCACTTCCTGGATTGAAGATCAAAGATTTCCAGAAAAATGTGTTCTGAGAACCTTCAGTCCAGGATGTCCTGGTGAGAATGTGCTAGTCGGATGTGCTAGCACGTGCTAGCTAGCACGTCCTGAATTGAAGATTGAACTTCTTATGTTTGTTATGTTTTGTTGGGGATTCCAAGATTCCCTAGAAACGCTTGTCTTGCATCCATTTGTCTTCTGGGATTTGTTGAGGGGAAAATGACACACACTGCATTTTGAGCGTTTTTGTTCAGGGAGGACCAATGATCTGACACATGCTGAAAAATATCGCATTGTACTGCGTTTGTTGCAAGCAGATCCATGTTGGTTGAAACACTTTCCTGTTCTTGGCTTGGTTCAGTGCGTGCTGAGTACAAATCAAGAGCCGTTTGGACATGTGTTTTGATTGCAATTTCAACAGCAATGTCAATTTATACTCTCCATTTGCAGTCTCCATGTGCTGTCTCCCTTTGCTCTCTCCGTTTGATTTCTGCAGTTGTTTTCTTCATTTGTTTTTTATTCCAAATGCACAAGGAAACATAGCCGGTTGAAATTGAAATGTGTTGAGCTTGAAACAGCATTTCAATTGGATACTATTCCTGTAGTTGGCTTGCAATAGATGCTATTGACAAGTCTTAAGTCGAATTGGATAGGCAACACAAGATGTAGATAGGTATTGCTTTCCAAATGAGCTTTTAATAGAATTGAAATAGCATGTAAACGGAAGCATATAAACGGAGAATGTTCAGAATGTAAATGAAGCTGCACAATGGAGCACGCGGCCAACTATTTTGGATTTCAAATGCAAAAAACAACTTAGAAAGGAATGAATGCAATTATTCTCAAATTTCTGATCTCCCCTCCAAAACTATGAGGAAATCATGATTATAGAGCTGTTGGGTTCAATGTCAAATTGCAATGTAGACAGGAAGGAAGTTCCTTTCCTCCAAATTGATGGGCTGCTGACTTTCATTGAAAAAAAAGATACAGCAAAAAGACCTCAGCGTACTTCTCTTGCTACATTTTTGGTGAACAAATGTGACTTTTGAGCCCTGATGTTGCAATTTGTATGCCTAGAACTGTGTGAGTGCTTCCAAGACTCAACTCAACTCTTCAATCTCAACTTCTATGCGCTTCAAACATGTTGTTTGTCCAGGTGTCTTGAAACTGACCCAAACAACGGTTCCTTTCGGGGGGTGGTTGGCATATACGCCTTCCTGCAGGCTAAGTGCTTGTCATGTCTGTGCACGAGCCGGTGATTCGGAAGAGACAATCACAGCGAATGCGAACGTGATCTTCAAACGTGAGCGGAACGCGCTAGCACGCAGTTGGCAATCTGCTTCCAGGCAGCGGAGCAGGCGGCAACCCTGCGGGATGTGGACCACCACCTTACCTGCACATCGCCAAAGAAGCTTCACTTGATTCTCCAAGTTGCAATTTCTGACTTTGCATGTGCGGGCACTAAACCGATCTGTGACACTTTTCACCCAGACTCGAAATTGTGTGACAAAGCTGAGCCTTTGGCCTTTTGCCAGACAGCACCTACTTCTTCGCGGCTGAATAAGAAGCTCCCGGTGGCAAGGAGTCTCTGCCTGGCTGATCTCGAGAGTAGGAGCGCCAGTAGGGAAAGACCTCGCCACTGGCCCGGACACTCGGCCAGGCACCATCAAATGCTGCCAGAACTGGAGCCGTCAGAGTCACGGGCTGTTGACAGGCGCCCAGGTTTTGCTCGAGCTGTGCAGTGGAAGAGGCTCCCAGCAAAATGCCGTCGCCTCTCTCGGCACTTAGCACTGAATGGCGCAAGAGCCAGGAATATGTAGCCTCCACTGGTGAGAGACTTGCCGCTTCGCAGGCTGCCCGAATCTTCGCGAGTGCATCGAAGTTCGGCTCCGTGTAAAACCGCGGCAGGTAGTTGGGATTGTCCTTGAATCGCCCTGGCAGCACCTCCGTGGTCTTCGCGTGCTTGCCAGTCAGAAGGCCAGCTGCCAGGGGGTTGTATGCCACAAAGGACACATCGTACTTTCGGAGGACCGGCAACAACTCCTCTTCCACCAGCCGGTTCAAGGGGTTGTACAGGCCTTGGTAGAACGAAGGCGTCGCCCATCCTCGCTCCCTGCAAACCGAGCAGCAGCGATCCACCTCCAGTGCGCTGTAATTGCTCATGCCGTACTTTCGAACCAGTCCTTCTTTCATCAATTGCTGCACGCAACTCAATGACTCCAACAAGTCATGCTCTGGATCCGGCTGGTGCAGGTACAATACATCCACGCTTGAGACGTTCAAAGCAGTCAAAGATGCTTCCAGTTGCTTCCTGATTCCAGTGTCTGATAGTCCGCTAGGTTGCGAAGGGTGCACTTTGGTTCCTAGGATCATTGGCTTTCCAAGCAGCTCTTTCCTCTGTAGCACTCGTCCCAGGATTTGTTCCGTCTCGCCTCCAGAATAGATCCTTGCTGTATCAACCTGTGTGCCGCCAAGGTCAAGAAACCTCTTCAGCATGTCGAAGGACACCGCATCGTCCACTCTGCTGCTAGCCTGGATCAAACGCGGGTTTTGTTGATCTGCTTTCAACCTGCGAACTAACTTCAGGCCTCAACAACACGGGGGCCCTCTGGATTCTAGGATTCTATGACAAGGCGAGCCTGGGACCAGCCAAAGGTCATGGTGCCGAAGTACACTTCCGGCAGCACATCAGCTCCAGTGCTCGCGCACCGGAGGTGCTGCATAAGCCGAGCACAGCGAGCAGCCATGGCAGGCGCGCGGTCACTGACGTCGCTGACGGCTCGAGCCCGGGTAGTGCGCGGTTGCCCGTCCAGCCAGTCCCATCCTTCCCGGGTTTCATGGGGGCTGGGAGGGAGGGGAAGAAGCCCTACATAAGGCCTGAATAAGGGCTTAATAAGGGCTTATTTGGGCTCCCTCCCCCTCCCGTCCCTGCCCCCAGCCCATGACGGTTGAGACAACTAAAGCTTCAGTCGCGGTCACCGATCCTGCCTGTCCCGCGGCCAGCGACGTTTGAAGCAAGATCAACTCCATGCCAGCACCATATCGTGGCCTCAAACGCAGCTCCTGTGTGTTTGACATGACGGGGATTGCTGAGCGGTCAACCAGCAATCGCAGCAATTCAGCACAATGGTTGTACGACCCAAGACTGCAAGCAGCGAAATCTGACATAGGCCACGGTTGGATCGTTCAAGCCGGGTGCTTCCTGAATTGCCGCCAAGCCTCTCATTCGCCGCCATGCTGCAAGCTAAGCAGTTTTTGGAGAGATAGTCTTGAGCTTACTGAAACTCCAAGCACACAATACTGCCACCTCTTGTGACTTGCATGCCTTGGCTCTGCAGCTCTCCATTTCAAACCAGGCATGCTCAGAGCGAGGTCTAAGGTGCTGCTTAAAACTGGGAACGAGATCTGCATCGGCTGAGGGAGTTGGGAGCTTGCCAGAGTTCCATCCATCGGCTTAAGCTTCTCCTGCGTCTTCACTGTTTGTTGCAGCATGCAACTTGGGTAGCAAAATGCATCTGTACCGCCCCCTTGATGTTTGTACATCATCCTCAGAACCTCCATAATATCTGTGGAGGCCATGAATGACCACACCATAAGCGTCATGCGTGAAGCAATGGCTGGAAGACCACGAAAACGCGTGCCAATGAAAGGCCATGGCCAACTGCTACCGGCATAGAACAAGTGCGAAACACGCAGCATCTGTTTTTTCCATCATACATTAACTTCGGCAATCGGCCGCCGGCCATCTCAGCACACGCCTTCTGCATTGCAAGCACGACGAGAAACAGTGCCACTTCCCGTTCAGACTGTCCATCATCCCGCGCGAACCTGAGAAGCGTTCATGCAAGGTCACGGGACATTGTGGAGCCAGGCGTATCACGCAAGCATCCAGAAAAATGCGGGTATGGGTCAAAATATAAAACCACCAGGATATGGACTGCATGTCTTAGTCCTGGGCAAGCCATTTACCGCATCTTTGACAGCCATCGCTCGACACCAAGGAGCCCCAAGCAGAAAGCCGGCGGCAAAGCCGCCAGATAGGCCCGCAGTGTTGTTTTCGCACACCTCGCAGTCGTGCGAAAACCAACAGCCATTCGAATGACCCCCAGCGTTTTGTTGACTAGACAAGCGCATCTAAATCAGCATGAAAGAAGCAAGAGTATAGTATATAGGCTGTTGTCCAGATGTGCCTTCAGCACTTTCATGTATCCCGTGTTGACGTCTGCAGCATCAAACTTTCCATCCTGGCCGTAGAAAGGGCTTGCGGATGGTCCGATTTACAGCCAAATAGAAAGCCCAGTGCATGGCGCTACACTGCTCATCGATTGTGGAGGCTTGGCTTGTAAGGTTCAAGGAGCACTCACCGCAATGCAACTTCCAAAGCCTTGTTCAAATCAAGCACTGCTGTCATGTCTTTCCTTAGCGTGCTGCAAGCTGCGTGCTACAAATAAGAATGCCTGTATGACATACAGAACAAGCAAGCAGCACCTTGACAATCTTGCTTGAAGCTTCTGAGCAAGACAGTAGGGCCCAGACTCGACCTTCTCCCAATTCCTCAGCTCGCCACTGAAAACTGAAAACTGTTTGACACTCAGCGCTCGAGGCATAGTTGTCCATCCATGCGCCAGAGCAAAGTGAAAGGCTCAGCCCTGTCCAACCCTGACCAGAGGGATGGTGGCATGTTTCCAGGAATGCTGACAGCATGTTCATGTGAGCACATACGTGTGCTTTCTGGGTGTGTGTGTGTGTGTCTATCTGTCACATGGGCGACAGCAACAACGAATGCGTTGCACAAGTGTAACGGGACAAGCAAACATGGTCTGAAGGCTGATATATGATTTGCATAGTTTGCTTGTACCTCCAGGCTCTCTTTGCCACGCTGCCCGAGCACTTTGTGACTATGGCCAAGGTATGCATCCATGATGTGCGTATAAGTACAGCGATCTCCATCATGAAACATTCACGATTGGAGTAGTGTCCTGATTACGTAAAACCTGTGCTTGCACTATGCATTATATATATATACATACATATGGTACCTCCCCCCCCAAAGAAGCAAAACTCTACCTTTTTCTCAAAAATGTTCTGCATTCTGGACAAAAATCAAGGGTTTGTTGAATCCCAAGCTGACATTACCCTATTCAAGATTCTGGAGAAATCCTTCCAGGGCACTTGCTAAATGTCCTGTGTCTTGGCCCAGCTTCTGATCTTGTTCTGTTGCATGACTGTTTGACCGCGTCAACCAGCCGCATCAAGGGTTTCTCATGGTGTCTCTGCAAGCATTCCATTCCATCGCTCGAAGTTTTTTCTCGCCTATCATTTCTGACAGTTTGGGACAGCATGTCCATTTCGCAACATCTAGGACGATAAACATTCCAAGCAACATGCCGACATGCCGGAAACGAGGCATACAAAATAAGTTGCAGATCATTTTACAGATGGAATTTGCACAAAATCTAATCAATTGCAGCTGCAATAGCTGCGTCTTCAGTTCCACGTTTGAACTGCGGCGACAGTGCTTTTGGCTGCGTTGCGGTTGCCAACGCTTATGTTTCTAGTGGAGTCCAACATGGGCAGGCACCCGCGGAGGGGCTGGGGAACCGGTTTGGAACTATCATCCAATGGCGCTTGTGTCTCGAAAACGGAGAGCAGATCCTAGTGGCGTTTGGTTTGGCAGCTGAAGGCTACGTGTCGACACTAGCAGCGTCAAGAATTTGAATGTGTGAGAGCATGCTTTGGGCTCGCACTTCTTTCAAGTGAGCTGTACTGAAGTAGCTGATGTACTCAATCGCGAGCCCTGCTTCGACCGCAATCGGCAGTGAAAATGGCATTAACTAAAAAAATGGTGTTGGGCGCACGTTTCCGCTGACTCAAGAACTACCTGTGTGGAAACGTGCTTTGACCAAACTTGATGCACTGCGGACTCGTGTTTTATTCCAATGAGCCTCACTGTAGCGGTTGTTTTAGTGCTTATGGTGCGATGCAAGAGCATGAGGGATCGGCTGAGGGTCGTCGAGCCAGCATTGATCAAGCTTCCTGCTGGAACAGACCTCGAGTGATGCAGCTTAATTACTCAGATTTGTGATGCAAGGAGTGTCAACCAACTTAGTCGAAAGAACTCAAGTTCTCAAGGCTGTACCTGGGCTTGCCAAACTCGACTTCGAATTCGCAGGTTTCGCTCCTTCCGCACTTTTCGGAGCAGCACCTTATGTTGCTTGGCGCCACAGGGCTGTTTGGTGACGTTAGCGGCGTCATAGTAGGCAGGGCTGGGCGTTGGAACTCTCTGGCTGCAAAAACGAGACCTCGTGCTTCCAAAAGCAAAATATCCAGCACGCATGGTTCGTTGAGCCCAAAAAGAGCCAAGCCATGATGAACCTGATGTCCTAAGAACACATCATCGATTTGGAGACGAGTTTCTAGAACTGACCTACGGTAATTCCAAGACGTTCCGTTTTCGTGGGTTTAATTCTTTCATCTGGGAGCTGTGCGGGGGGCTTCGACTCCCCCAAGTCTATCGCATCCTTAGCATCTCCAAAGAACATCGCCAGCATCACCTGCATCATCCTCATTAGCACACATTGATACAAATGATGGAGGTGATGCTGGGGGTGTTGCCCACACTAAATGAAGGGAACTGCATGGGAAAGTCAAGGGAAACGAAGAGAACTGAAGGGAATAAACTGACACAGCTTTCCAAGCAATGCAAAGCACCATTGTTACATAGAAACCATGGATGGATGGATGGATGGATGGATGGTTGGATGGATGGATGGATGGATGGATGGAGGGACGGACGGACGGACGGACGGACGGATGGATGGATGGATGGATGAAGGCACGGACGGACGGCCAGACGGCCGGACGGCCAGGACAGCCGGACGGACAGATAGATGGATGAATGATGGATGGAGGCATTCCAGGAGACAGACTGACATACAGGCAGACAGACTGACGGACAGACTGACACAGGGACAGGCAAATAGAAAGCAAGAATGATATTAAATGAGTACGGTTTTTGTGTATGTAGTGTACACGTATGGGGGTGGATGAAAGAAAAGAAGAAAAAACAAGGCAACGAGCTAATTTCGCCATGAATCACTGTCACGTAGCCTTGGTATGCCAGAGCCTGCAGAGGTTGCACCAACTCATCGACCAAAACACCACGAGCATCCGGCATGCTAGCATGCTAGCAGGCAGTTGCTGCAAACAAGGTGTCCTCTCACACGGTGTCCACTCCCACACGAACGTAGAGGGTGCAACAGCGGGTAGCACTACAAAGAAGAGCAAGTATGTCAAGAAAACCAGAGGTGGCCCAATATTGCAACTTGCTCATACATTCAGCAACTGACTTCGGACTCCCTACGCAGGTTTGGGACCTGATCCTGCCCATGTCCAAGCTTTTGCCTCCCGCAGTAGCAGTAGTCTTGGAAGATGCTGACAGCTTGTGGTGAGCGTGTTCGTCCTACATATTCCCTTCAAAGGATCGGCGCCAAGCGACAGCCTGACATGAACATCAGCTCAGGGAGGACTATCGCGCGGCAATTGGATTGCGCTGGTGAACTGCCTTCTGGTTGACTTGGCCAGCTGGCCTCTTACTGCAACTCGCTCACGGTATGCGCCAGCATCGAAATAAATGTTATCCACTCATCATGTGGGTGTGGCTCAAAATTGAAGAGGCGGGGTTACGCAGGGTTTAGTTGTTGGCTCCATTTACCAAGGTGCCATTTTGGAACATGTTTTTGAGCCACAGCCACATTCAACCGGATCCAGCGAGCTTCACCCTCCCAGCCTGCTGCAGCAGGAAGAGGGTGCCGAATACACCTGCCGCCACCTTTCCAGCCTGACACCGTGAACACTCGACCCAGCTGGATTCAAGAGTTCAAAGGCATCCCGTGGATGGACGATATCCGCTTCGCACCATCTAAGAAACCCCAGAATGAGCCGCTTCCCCTGTAAATACCAACAAATAATGGTTTCAACCCATGGTTTCCAAGTGGCGCGAATCGGATTTCGCTTTTCCATCCACAGGGCAGTCTGCGCCTTGCTCCTGCCTGTTGCCACATCTCTCAGGTCGGGGCCTTCTTGAGCGCGAATCCCGAGCACGCGCCCATCCTCGAAACTGCCGGACGATTTGTGCCTCTGCATGTGGCTGCGGTGGTCAAAACCGTTTTGGGATCCCATTTTTGGGGTGGGTGAATTTACCACCCTTCTTGGAACCTATTTTAGTGGGGATTGGGATGTTCACTGGTACGGGCTTTTGACCCATGGCCATGTTACTGCATGGTCCCTTCAAGTTTGCCCAACAAATCTCAGCCGCCACTTGCAATTGGAGCAGCTAGTGTCTTATCTTGCTTGCTGAAAGGGGAGCAAAATTTAAATTTTAGCAGTCAAGTGGCTGGATTTCAGCCACTAAACCACAATAAGCAAGAATAGGAAAAATGCTTCCCAACAACAACCATGTTATAGACCCCGCCACGTGCAATTCGAGCAGCATGTGCCTTCACCCTTCGCAGTCATGCTGAGTGCTGAGGCAAACTTCCAACCGACACCGTCTGGCCCAAGGGGAGCAGCTCCTGGCGCAGACTGATTCCCAACGACCGGAGACCGAGCCCCTGAGCCCCTCCTCTGCGGTGCTCGGGATCTTTGGAAGCTTCCATTCTCCATCACCTGAGTGACAATCAATGGCATGAAAATGGTCGACCCAGAACCATGCTTCAAGAATTAAGAAGACGGATATCCGCTACTATTTATGGCTGGGACTGCTCCTTACTAACCTTCACTTGCCCAGGTTTTGATTGTAGCTCACCTAGAGCCGTCAGCTGACTAGGCAAAACAAGTGCAACGACTGAGCCGCCAGCAGCGAACTGCACCAGGGCGCGTAGCAACTGCAGTACACAGGTGCACAGTACAGAGGCAACGGCTCCAAAGCATTTTCGTAGTGTCTTGCTAGGTTACATGAAAGAGGTCCTGCCAAATTCATCGAGATTGAACTGTGGACCTGTGGACTCACTGCCCAAAAGCCCTGACAGCGCCGTGGCCGGCAAGCCGCGCCTACAGCCGCGCTGCAGGCCAGCGATCGCGCGCCGACCGCGCTGGCAGCCTTCAGCAGGCGGCCTTGGAGCTGAGCCCTCTGTGCACCGCAGACGGCAGGCGGCAAGCGGCAAGCGGCAAGGCAGTGCCGAGTTGATCAACAAGTGGTGACTAATTTTGGTTATTGGCTTTTGATCAACAATTTGTGGTGACTACAAATCCATCAAACATGTTGTGGAGATTCACGACATGTGAAAAATTAAAGCTGGGCTCGGCGCCAACCATCTCTGTGCCAGGCCTCAACGGTCGAGCAGGAACCAGCAACTTGAAGGGACGACACGTGGAGCTGTGGCCAGCGTAGGACTTGCTTACGCACATGTCGAAAAGGATCTCTATTGCTGGGCTGCTGACAGCGCTTTGCAGCCAAGGGTGCCGAAGGAGCCCAAAGGGCAAGCTTCACAATGCTATGGTTTGCAAGAAGTATGCCATGCAACCTTCATGATCATTTTGGACCCAACCAGGCAGAAAGTCACCAGGCGAATATATTCTTTAGCAGCGAAAACAAAAATACCTAGCAAGCAACCCTCTTCAGAGTCCATCTTTCAATGTGTTGCTTCAAATAGGTGATTAACTCGAATGTATCACGGGCTTGCTTTCCAACGTGACTGGGTTTGTTCATTCCACCAAGGACCAAAGCAGCAGAACAGCACCTTCTCATTCCGCTAAACTTGCATGTTTTTTTTGGTATCCGCGGACCCAGTTCTGCTATCCTTCGGAGCAAGCCATGCCACGATACAGGCAGCTCTGCTGGCTTTGGCACTCCCATCCAGTCTTCTGCGTCTACAACGTTCGTCCACGCCAGCACTTGCGCTTCTCTGCGAATGGCCTCCTTGGCCCAACTTTCCTCTGGAACCTCACTGAACCTCTGCAGCGCGTGATCCTCAAGCTGCGACAGCGCAATGGCCGGGAAGACAAAGGTCCTCACACCGGAGCGCTCCTCCTCAACCCGGCACCCGCTGTCCTTCTCCAGGCACCATGCCTGCAGCCGCACCAAGAAGCCCTTCGCCAGGGCGTTCTTGCCGGAGGCGCGGAAGCGCACGCGCACCTCCCGCCTGCCCTCCGCCAGCGCCAGCTCCGCCACGCCCCGCAGCAAGCGCTGCTCCACGCCGCGGTGCAGCACGCGGCAGCTGAGCGCAAGGCACTCGGCGACCAGCGCCGTGGTCTCTTGGAAGCAGAAGGCGGCCGCCACCAGCCCATAGTCTCCAAACTTGTCGGCCACCTGCGCGACCAGAATCTGTTGCCCGCTCACACACCAGGACTGCACCTGCGCCTCAGTCAGTCGCAGCTGAGTTGTGTTGAACTGACTCGTCCGAAGTGACAGTTGGCTCAGTCGATGTATGTCAGACTGTGAGGACTGGCGCACTATGATCTTCACGGCCAAAGAGTTCAAAAAATCTTGGAGATTCGAGTGCCGTTCCTTCTCTGCTCGTCGTGCAGCATTCTGCCGGTAAAGCTGTGTCCGCCGACTGTCCTCGTCCGTGGAAGCGCCGCTGAAAACATCCAGCGCCCAGCAATGCCGGAGAAACGTGGCATACTGCTCGCGGTCCGCGGGGACGTGAAACGCCAGCACGCTGGGCACCGAGCGGCGCACGTCCTCCACTTCGAAGGCGTTGTCGTCCAAGAAGACGAACGACTCTAGGCCCAGGCCCAACGACTCGGAGAGCTTTTCAAGGCTGGATGGCTTTGGCCCAAGGTGCACCTCACAGGCTACGACGTGTTCGCGGCGTAGAGGGCACTGTCTGGCGGAAAACACCTGAAGGACCTCCTCCTCGGATGAGTTCCGTGAGGCCAAACAGATCAAGCGCCCAGCTTGCTGCAAGCTTGCTAACTTCTTCTGAAGCTCAGCATATGGACCTGACAAGTCAACGCCAAGCTCCCCTTCTTCGGAAATCGCGCCACCCCAAAGAGTGTAATCACAGTCAGACACAAACACCTTTAGCCTGTTGCTCAGAAATGCCGCTGTAGCCCGTCGAAGCACAATTGCAAGCGCAGCTGCGACTGGGTCATAACTTGCGCAGGGATACAGTTCATGGACAGAAGGCCAATCGACAATTTCTACTGAGGGAAGGCCACGCAGCCCAACAAGCAAAGCGTTGGCAGCATCATTTTGCTCGGATTCTTCACTAGCTTCTGTCTGAACAAAGACAATAGCACGCTCGCCCGAGCTTTCTGTGCGAGCAGCAGCAAGGATTGCAGAAGGATCATCTGGGCGCAAATCCCGAGGTCGCCAAAGCACTGCGCCGAAGCGTTTCTGGCAGACTTCTTGCCAGCTTGCAAGCTGCACTTCCAGGCGGACCGTGCCGAAGATGTCACGCCACTGCGATAGCAAAGGCACCACATCCGTCTCAACTTGGAAAGTTGCAGCCAGGTCCACAGTCACACAGCCTTCGTGCCCCTCACCTGAGGCCGTTGCCAGGTTGGTGCCGCGGCTGGCGCGCACTGTGGCTTCTGCCGTCGCATCTTCCAAGGTGTACTGCAGGCGACCGACCCCCACGAGTTGCCGGGCAGCGTCGTCGGGCAGCCGGGCAAACCCGAAACCAAGGCCTGTGCCCTCAGAGTATCCCCCGCGCGTGTGGAAGCGAAAGTCCGCCTTGGCACCGCAGAGGCCGAAAATGGCCGCGCCCAGCCCCACCTCTGCCGCCTTCAGCTTGTCTGGATCGTGCGGGAGGTTTCCCAACCAAATCTCAGCCGCCATCGGCAACAGGCCGAGTCGGACCTTGCCCCATAGCAACGCCCTGCGTAGCAGCTAAATGAGTGGCTGCCCTATGCAGCCAGTTCAAAAGAGACATGCACTGGAGCTTGCAACGGAATGAGGAAGCATGGAATCCAGGAATCCCTGAGCAACGCGCCTTTTCGCGAGGTCATGGAAAGGGAGCTGCAGACAACTGTCCGTCAGCGGCTTGTGAGCCCAGCTCCCCAAGTCCTCTAAAAAGTTCGAAACGGCCTCTGCTTGCCGTGCACAGCGGGCTGGTCACAGGTGGCCTTTTCGAAAAATGGATGGGATTCCCGGGTACATGGAAGAAAACCCATCCAAACCAGTGGAATCCATATTTTTTGTTGGCCAAACTAACCCAAAAAGGACACCTGTGGTGCTGGTCACGTGCAAGCACACATGAGCGCCAATCTCACTCGATTGGCAGCTCCTTCCAGGCTCTCTCGAGCGACTCTGCTGGCAGCTCGTCTCTCTTCGAGTAGTGCCCCCCAGGCACACCTGCGGGGTCAAAAAATCTCAAAGCCAAGCAAAGTGAGACAAGAACACAGCCACGCCGGCCTACAGGAGGATAGTCCAAGTACCTTTCCAAGGCGATGACAACTGGCTGAAAGGCATCTGCATACGGCACCTCCGGGCAGACAAACGCAAAGCTGGGCGAGCAAAAGGTTCTTCGTTTGTTTGGCAGAATGTCCTCGTGATACATGCTAGCTCTTTGCACGCCACCTGTGACTGCATAAGCATTCGCTGCTGACTTAGAATGCAGGCCTTCGCTCGCTCGCACTGTTGCCGCAAGAAGCGACTCATGCCGGGGGATGCTAAGGTATAGATGATCACACCTTGGCACATTGTATCTATGCTTTCTCCGAGAGGTTAAGTGTACTTGTGTACTTGTGTTTGTGCCCGCAACATTTCATGCCTCGCAGCAACTTGCACAAAGCATGTTGTGCAGTCAAGATGCTGTTTTGGGCCAAAGCCTTCTGAACAATGTGATCGATTTCCTGGCTTCAATAGGTCACTTCAAGTCACTTCTATGCACGAGCAAAACTTCGACAGATATGGTCCGCCTGCAGTGTTTGCACGCGTGGGCAAAGTGTCATGTTCTCCACATCTGCGTTGGGAAACTGCTTCAGCGCCTGCAGAAAGCAAGGCACGCAAACTTGGGATGCATACACACTGCTGTCAGGAGAACTGACTGGTCATCCGCGGGCCACTCAAGGCGCAAATCCGCAGTGTTTAATCTAGCGCCAAGTCAATGTCGCGCAACAAGCCATAGACCTCGAAATATGCTCGATGTCACGGTTGTAACCAATGGGACGCCAAGCCAACCAACGTCGTCGAGCAATTCAAATCAGAGAAGCGAAGAAAACCACTAGGGGGCTGTTATCTTAGAGGCGCAAGGTTCAGCATGAAGTCGGCAAAACAACAAACAACAAGTTAAAACCGCGCAGGCACGTCAGCGAGCGTCCCACTGATCCTCCGCGCCACACGCAAGCCTCTCTCCGTCCGGCACTTGCGCGGGCAACTCGCCCCCGTGCTTGCAAGCGAACTGCCGAGGCAGCCCCTGTTCAGTCGTCAGCGGTTACACACCCACGCGCAAACACGCACACACACACACCAGCGCGCTGCGAGTTTATGACCGCCTGCCTTTTTTTCTGTGGCATGCGATCGGTCCCTGGAAAGAGCTTCAACAGCACAACTCAGTACAGGATCGTCGGGACTGACACAGTAAGGGAAATGTTGCTTCGGCAACAAACGACGACGTAGATCTAGTTCAAGCAACAGTGCACAGCCAGAAGATCAGGAACCACACAAAACCTTCAGGGCAAGCCTCGATGGGGGCTGATGGCGTAGCGTTCCGGATGGCTCCGGCGGCACACGAACGCCTGTTTCCACAACGTCAGGCCGCCAAGAATTCATGAAGAGCAGGCTTCGCATCGGCACGCGTTGGAGAGGAAGTCACCCCACTGAGGCGCCAAGAGTGAGGCTGTCGGTGGCGACGCCTTGCGCGAGGTGCCGGAGTCCTTCTGCGATAGGATGGTCAGAGTCGCAGAGTCGCCGGCCTTGAAGCGCGCAGGGTGAATCTCAGTTCCTGCTGGCCTCAGAAGACCATGTCGGGCCTATAGCCCAGCTTTGATTTGACTCGGCCCCCTCAAGGAGTCAAGACCATCCCTGAGAGCCTACAACACAGGCGCCGACCCACAACGTAACACTCCGCTACTAGCACGGACGACATCGGCCTTTACTTTCGATCGTCACACACTGTTGTCAGGAGAACTGACTGGGCATCCGTTCGCCACTTAAGGCTCAAATCCGCAGTGTTTGATCTCTAGACGAGGGCCGCTTGGGTGTCGCAACAGGCCGTACGAGTCGAAATCCCTTAGGGCTGTATCAAACGAGACTTCAAGCCAACCAACGTCGTTGAACAATTCAAAGCAACAACACAACGAAAACCACAAGACGCGCAAAGGTTCGGCACCTTAGACTAACTGACTTGTCGGCCCCTTGAAAAAGATCTATGCACAAACAAAGTGCACCAGGAACTTCACGACTCTCCATTTTGTGGTTAATCTTCACTTCAGTCACAATATTCGGGCAGTTCTGAGGCTGGGCACAGTATAAAGCCTCAAACATTGTTTGAGAATGTTGTGCTTTGGAACTGAGGTTGTCGAATTCTCTGGACACTTCAGTATTCCTGGAAGCTGCATCAAAGCACTCGCTTTTTGGGCATGGTAATCTTGCTGGTAAAACAGCTGGGAAAGAGTTAAAAACTTGTAGGTACTGTAGTGAGCGTCCCACTGATGTCGCAAGCCTCCTGCTTGCAAGCAAACTAGGGGCTACACACACACAACCTCTTTCACGCGAATCAGTCAGGCAAGCATGCCTTCGGCCAGGTAAATTGAACATGGAACTGCAATGGCAACAGTAGTCAGGAGGCCTTGCACGCCATCAGATATGGCAAGTCCGCAGAAGAATCTGACACCGCAAAGAGCGTACTGCATGGAGCTCCAGGCGTGCTCTTGGAACCTCAGTCTTCACATGCCTGCATTTGCACTGCGCACCCTTGCCAAGAAGATATCAACAAAAAGGCAAAGCACAAGGCAATTCAGGATGACTCTTGCACCTGGCACTGCCGGAGGAAACAACTATCCATATACCAAAAGCGGGCCCGAAGCCGAGCACCAACTTCAATCCAAAAGGCCTCGCGACAGCTGCAGGCGATTCTCAATGGCAAGCAGTACCTCGCTCGTTCGGTTGGAGGTCATGGATTCGCAGGTAGTGTTACCCTGTTTCCTTGCACTATTGATCATTTTGAAAAAGTCAATTGTGGACCCGGGCGCAAAACACGAATCCTGCAACCCTGACATACCTTACCAGCACCAGCACCGGCAGCAACAGCATCATCATCATCATCATCATCATCATCATCATCATCATCATCATCATCATTATCAGCAGCAGCACCTTACCAACATCAGCACCGGCATCATCATCATGCACCTGCAGCAACAGCATCATCATCATTATCATCATGCACCGGCAGCAACAGCATCATCATCATCATCATCATGCACCGGCAGCAACAGCATCATCAGCAGTATCAGCATCATCAGCATCATCGGCATCATCAGCATCATCAGCCACAGCAGCATCATCAGCATCATCAGCATCATCAGAAACATCAGCATCATCAGCATCATCAGCATCAGCATCATCCGCATCATCAGCATCATCAGCATCATCAGCATCATCAGCATCATCAGCATCATCAGCATCATCAGCATCATCAGCATCATCAGCATCATCAGCATCATCAGCATCATCAGCATCATCAGCATCAGCATCATCAGCATCAGCATCATCAGCATCATTGCCATCATCATCATCATCATCATCAGCTACCAGGAACTTCTTGTTTGTCAACGAAACAAAGATCTTCGCATCCAAGAAAGAGGAAGCATAAGCACCATGACAACCACCACAAATAGAAGCAATTCGAACAAGCTCCCTCAGCAGCTATACGTTGGCAAAAGCATAGCACCTGAGACAGCAACACAAGGTTGCACAAGAATTGCTTTGACTGGCGTTGACAAACAGCAAGCTGGGCCTTCCATGACCGTGGCTATAGAATCAGCCGCTGTGGCCTGCTCTGCAGCACCCTATCGCACCTTGCTCAACAGCAACCTGCCAAAATCTAAGTCACACCCTCCAGCAGCAACCTACCCAACTGCAGCATCCTGAAACAGCACCCTGGGCAACTCGCAATACCTTTGCGACAGCACAGCCAGCTCAACCCAAGCACACGCGGCGAATTACAAACGTCTTTGCAGCTGAGCAATGATCAAGCGCGTAAGAAAGCGCAACTTCTCACAACACTCAGGATGGTTTAGGAGTGTATTAGGGTTGGGTTAAGATCAGTGGAGGGTTTACCGAGTGCTCTGACCAGGGCACAGCTTCCATAGAATTGATACACGGCACCTGGGCGACTCATCAAGGCCACGTGATCCACGCGAAACGCCTTCTTGCAGCTAAGAAACACCCTGCTGGCCACACTCCTTGACGAGAAACTCACCCATGCCTTTGTCTGCCAATGAGTAGATGAGCATTGCCCCAGCTTGCCTTTGCTGCCAGCACTTGAGTCTGCACACCCTGGCACAGCCCGAATTCTGGCCAAAAACGGGCTTGATTCGTATTGCCGAGTGCGGAAGGAAAGACCAAGTCGTAGCCAAGGAGCTCAATGGCCAGCGATTCTTCCGGCGCCAGATCGGCAGCCTCTCGTGCTCGGCTCAATTGGTTTGCCTAAGCCTGGATTCTTAAGCCCAGCATTAAAAAAAACGGGGGGGGGGGGCAAACTGCGAGGAAAAAAAAAAACACGTGTGCATCCTCACTACTTGCCAGCCTTCTCAACCGCCCGCTTTACGTCATCTTCAGTCTGGATACCTGGAATCACTTCCACAATAGACTTGGTGACATCGCCTTAGAGACACGCCCTGCAGTGCCTTGCCAGACAGCTCTTGCAAACAATGAGAAATTTCAGTAGAGCGTCCAAACTGTCTGAAGGCCATCCTTGTTCGCGAGGTGCAAAATACACGGCACAAAGCACATGTCGGCTGAAGACACGTTCAACAAGGCCATGCCAAAGCCAAGATGCTCCGCAACCATGTTCGCCACTTGTCCAGTGCCATCAGAAACAGCAAATATAGGCTTCGGTGTGACATCCTGCCGTGAATATGCATTCTGTGTAGCTCAGCAGGCTGATCAAGGGATTTGAAATCAAACATCCTCAAGAGAAGGCCATGGCTTCTCAGTCTTCCCCACAGAGCAAGTGGGGCCCTTGCAACCTCCCAGCCGCTCCTCAGACCATGGAGCTACCGCCATGGTGCGCGTTGCTGCGAAGATCCTAAGACTTAAGAGAAGCTCAGGGTGCTGGCGCTTCTGGCATACTCACCAAAAACCCGCAGCCAGAATCAAACCTGGCAAAGTGGTCGATCCCAACCCTTCAAGAGTCAAAAGCGCGGCACCCAGTTACTCCTAAACCTGTCCCCTTACGCTTGCCTTCACTTGCGGGTCTCACATCGCTTCCCAAGAGGCTTCGCATCCTGCAGGCTTGCCCCTGGAACCTAGCTCACTCTGAATGCACGAATGTAGATTCGCTCAGCGAGCACTCACTCACAAATCGAGTCCCGCGCAAAAGAATTGATCCTCAGCTACTGACACCAGCGCTACAGAAGTCTCTGTCACGCATCTGAAATGGCAATGCTCAAGGAAAGCTGAGATATGTTCCTTCTACGCATGAATATAATCTCGCTGGCCGAGTGGATGGCCCAAAAAAAAGTCCAAACTTTACATTCATCACTACAATGGTCTTCCCAAAAAGCTTCAAGTTCTAAAGTTCATGAACTCAGGAAGTGAGTAATCTATTCTGAAACTCTTTCTTAGAGTCCCATGGCGAGCTTCTGCCCAGGCGGAGGCCCTCGGATGGTCTCCCAGAGGTCGTCATCACCGTCGGCGTCGTCCCATGCCTCCAAAGCTGCGCCGGTGCCAACCAGTCTATGGACCTAGGGGACCTAAAGGCTACATGGCCATGGGCTGTGCAAAATCCAGATTTCGTACCCAGTGGAACAAAACCGATTCAATCCAACCACGAAAATAGGTTCTAAGATGAGTGGTAAATTCACCCACCCCAAAATGGTACCATTGGTTTTGACCCACAGCCACATCTCATCACAAACAAGTAGTTATATCATAGACCTTCCAACCTGGCAAGCGACTCAAATGCCTTCACACTTGGCCAGTGCAATCTGACGTAGAAAGGCTGGACACCCGACCAGCTCCTCCCGGTCGGCCTTCTGCCGGCCAGTACTTGCCTGGCAGTATGCCAATCACGCTGTGGAACTTTCATGGGTTCTTTGCACCAGCAGACAAACTGCCAACAAAAAAGTATGGGCATTGAAACCATTTGCCGGAAAATTTGTCCTGTTCTGGCAAGCACTGCAGAGGCTAGCCTTCAGGAGCCGTTGTCGCGAAGAGCGGGCGTGGCCTGAATGCGTCAAACGGTCAATTGGCTGTGGGTCAAAAATAGGTACCCAAAATGGACCCCTGGTGAATGGAACCAAAGACTAAAACCTGCGGTTTCCTGGTGGTGAATTTTAACCCACAGCCAATTCAGGGACGCACCATCCACACCCAGAAAGGTTCCCCGTTGCTTCGGCCAAGTCAACGTCCAGCCTCGAGGGTGGGGCCATTGGTTTAAACATGTTTAAACAACTGGTGATGATTCTTCCCTTGTAAAGCTTGTGTTTAAACCATATTTTGCCCCCAGCCAGCCTCCCAAAAGCGTACTTCCAGCCAGGCCGGCTGCCAGTGCACGGAGCACTTCCTGGATCACGCAAGGTGAGATAGCGCAGTGGGTTGCGCAAGAAATATGGCCATGGGGCGTACCCTATGACTCCATTTTGCAGCACATGTTTAGCACAGGGGTACAGGGTTTTGACCCACAGCCATCGAGTTTCATTAATTTTACTGAAAGTTGAATATGCCAAAGAGCTAGCACAAGGAATGGTGAATAATAATAATAATAATGACAATAATAATAGAAAGGCCTTGCCTTGGAATGCGCTTGCCTGCGTTGCAGCGCTGCCTTGGCTCACAGGAAAGTGGCATCGAACGTCACAAGTGGCAACCGCTTCGGGCGACGTCCGTCAGCGCGTTTTGGGTTGAGCTGCTGCAGGCTGGCCCGACACGCGGAAGCCCGGCCGACTCGGGCAGCCCGGCCTGGCCGAAATCCACCGGGACATGCGCGGCACAACCGCAAGCGCCTTGCAGGCACAGTGACCATGGCCATGGGGCTCAAAGCGCACATAGAGTTATGGCCATGGCCTTTTGGAGAAATCGATGGCCCTTTCAACTGGAACAAAACCCATCCAAACCAGTGGAATCCATCTATCTTTAACCAAACTAACCTAAAACGGACGCCCATGGTCATGGCCCCAGCTAATCCTCTTTCAGGGTTGACAAACAATCGACCATCTCAAGCACGGATCGTGCCATGACATTTGCTTTTCTTGGGAAACTGGAAAACTATGTGGCGATAGTCCACAAATGATACCATCTGTAAAACTGTGTTCGGAAGGGTGCACGCCGTATGATCGGTTGTATTAGCTTGGTGCCATTGCCACATTCTGGCTACTTGCTCTTTTCTTGCTGGCTGGCGGAGCAGAGTTGTCAGTGCACGTAAGGTCAAGAATTCATCAGGCAAGATGCCCTCCAACCAAAAAAAAGTTGACCCCGGTCAAGGACCCTTGGAACAAAATCTCCAAAGAGCAGTCCGGAGCTGCAATAAGATGCCTGAGGAAAAAAAATAATGCAGGCCGCTTTGTCCAATAATTTTCCCCTTGCAGCTGCGCTAAGTGCGTGGCTGCACAAGCGCCAGCTGTTCGCATATGCTGCACATCGGACCTTTGTACACAGCGAGGCGCGGCAGTCCACTTCAATTAAGAGTGGTCCTGCACAGCTTGCCTCAACCAATCTGCGTTGCGCCGTCCACGGGCATGGCGCAGGATGGTCATAGCCATTGGGAACATGCCGATGCAGCAAACTTGGAAGGAAAGCGCATGAGGCCAAATATTGGCAGGGCCAAAGAGGAAAGAGGCCACCTGTTCCAATCGAATTCAGCAAATTAGCGGTATACAGCTCACAGGTGCACGGAGTGCGAGAACCCCACAATGTCTCCCAAGTCCTGCCAGCTCTCAAAGAAGCCGCCGGTCAGTCTGACATTTGTTCACCCTTCTTTCAAGACATGTCCCGTCCTGCGGGGCCTCTTGGTACGAGGAGTATACCATCGCCCAGGTCCAGAGCTGAATGCCAACGCCCAGGGCTCTCTGCGCTACAACCGCAGGACTCTTCTCGCGACTTAGTCACTCGCTCTGCGCTCATGCAACCCCTCTGTGTTCATCCCTTACGCGTCGAGACAAAAAAAAAAACGGCCTTTCTACATGGTCGCTCAGGCCTCGGCCGTTCTTCAGATGTCCCCTTTGGAAAACCCATGACAAGTCACATCTCGCCCAACTTGATGGACTCGTCTGAGAGCTTGTAGGTGAACACTGCTTCACCTGATTGAGGGCTGCAAGTTGTATGGGATCCTCTGACTTCAGCCTCTACGCTCAATCTTGAGCGCCTGAGAGACGCGCAAAGGGGCTTTGACATAGCTCGAAAGAGCTCATGCTTTCACAAGACTTCAACACCGGATAGTTGTGCCAGGTCTCAGCCTATTTCCCCCCCCTCCCAGCTCTTGTGGTTTCTGTGGCCCACAGAAAACAAGCTAAACCATGGTCAAAGTGAATCTCTCCAGTCCAGCCAAGGCACTCTTGATGTCCAGCAGAGTGAGGTCCACAACCAAGTCGCCCATTGGCAAGGATCGATCTGGGGGAGGACGCCCAAAGCGACGGTCCTACGAATTTCGCTCAACCGAACAGGTCTGGCAGCGCTATAAAAACCTCTTGGTGCAACAACAGGTGGGCGGGGTGGGTGGGGTGGGTGGGGTGGGTGGGGCTTCTAAAGCTGCGACAGCTCCATTGCAGTAGCCTCTGCACCTTGCTGGCTTGAAAAGCGCTCAAAGCCAAAACGAGAGACGCATTCTCTCATGCCCCAAATATGGCCGTACCCCCAGTGAACATCCGATTCAATCCCAACATAGGTTCTAAAATGGGGTCCGAAACCCCCAAAATGGGATCCCATTGACCAGCCATATTGAACACCGGACGGCGGTCGCGCGCCTGGGCATCCTGCGGGATCCAAAACCTGCGAGTCTCGCCGGGGACCATCTGCATGATGCCTTTCTTCAGGCTGCCGAACTCGCACACCAGCGCGTCCGGATCCTCCGCTTCCTTAGCTTTTCGGTGCCACAACCGCCACCAGCGGGAAGAAAAAAAAAAACAAAAACAAACGGGAACTTGTAGCGGCCAAGGCTCCTGCAGCAAGTTGCAAGCGCCTGAAGCTCCTTGACAGCTCCAAACCTTGCAGCAAACGGACAAACAGCTATGATCGTGACAATGTCAGAAAGCAACAACGCAAAAATGTGTGCAAGCTCAGTGGCCCTGTAAGTCACGTGCACACCGTCGAACTCTCGCGGGCAATTTGCAGGGCTAAAGCCATCCATGCCATTCCAAGCAAGGTCTGCGCCAGGGTTGATATAGCATATCTTTGTTGGGAAAAAAATGGACTCTGGCGCAGTATTGAAAGCATGTATTGAGGCATTTTCCCAAAATGCCCCAAAAAAAAGTGTGTCGCAGTATTGCGCACATATTGAGCAACAAACCATCACCCGATGCCTCCATCGCCCACCTCTTCGGAGCTCTGCAGGACACTTGTTTTCACTTCGCCCGTGACCTCTGCAGAGTCAGGTGCCTGGATGTTGGGCGTTGTGTCATACATCTGAATCAAGGTGCCCGGCACCACCAAGTCGCAGTCCGAAAAAAGTACACGCCAGAGCGATGAATGTTTCTCCAGCATTTTGACGGTGCCGTCACAGCCATACAACGAGACATCGACAGTTTGCCCTGCAATGTTGAAGTTCATCAACCTTGCATCCTGGGGCTGACCCTCCTCAATTGTTGGAAAGGTAAGCGCCAAACGCTCAGGCAACGGCTTGCGCAGTGCAACACGCCGTCGCAAATCCGTCTTGGTCAAAGCCGAGTTTTCTTTGACCAGGTAGCACTGCTCGGAAATGGAGTTTTGATTGGCATGGATGTTGCGAGCGACCTTGCTGGCCTGCGTCCGTGATGGGCTGCCAGCCGGATTAGAACTTCCGCGAGCTTCAATCCAGCCACACGAATGCATGCCAAACAAAAGTGGCACCGCAAGTAGGATGTAGCGACTGCATCGTGCGCTCGCTGATCGTGCAAAAGCCGCCATCAACCCGCCACCCGAAATGCTTGGCCGGATACTGCTGCAGGTGGAATATGCTCATCAAGTGAAACATGTGTAGGGAACGCGTTGTTGCATGCAATGCTTGCATTTGTTTTTTCAGCCTTCATGACACAATCTCAATGATACTGCTGCAGCTGTTTGGTGTTCGCGGTCGTTCGCCTTACCAGCTTCTCGTTGCTTGAACAATGGGTGAACAATGTGAGAGAAAAATGAAGCTGCAAATTGGACCATGTGCTCAGAAGGCTCGGACTGGTGTTGGTATTATCGGTTTTGACCACATGTGTCAATTACCATGCTTCAAGTACATGCCCAATTTGTTTGCATATTTCATGGTTATGCATTTACATACAGGTTCGCATGGACAGTTTCACATGGCCTCGTCCATGCTCACGCATGTAAGCCCGCTCTTGCTTTCCTTATCAAAGGAAGCTGAAATGAGAAACCAAGCAGCAAAGAAATGAGAAAGGAAAGAGATAACCAAGCAAAGTCAATTCCAACTATAGAGACAGCCAAGCAAGGACGAAGCCAGGTAGAGAGATAGCAAAGCAAAGACATCGCAAAGCAATGACAAAAACCAAACAAAGGACACGGCAAAGCAAAAACATAGCCAAGCAAAGACAAAGCAAAGCAAATGGCAAAGACATGCACAGCAATGCAAAGCCGATCAAAAACATTGCAGACTGCAGATCTACATTTTGCGCACTTTCGGCATTGTTTTCTGCCTAATTGAAGTTTCCGGATCTTAAACAAATGATCCCAGGACGCACTTTCGGCTGGTTTCAAGTTGCAGGATCTTCAACAGCAACAGATTTCATGGTAGGCGCAGAACTTTGTAAACTGCGGTGGTCGCGGGGGGAACAATGAAAACGGATGCGCTCGGAACTGCTTGCGGTCTGGTCGGAGTCTGCTCGGAGTCTGCTCGGGGTCTGTTCGAACACGGACGCATTTGTATGCAACGCGCAGTGTTTCGCAGCCTCAAAAAAGCGAACCTTTTGCGTTTCGGTGGGTCTACCTTGATCTCTGTTTTTTCTCGGTTTTTTGACTTTGCCAGATGAACCCTCTGCCTGGTCGATTTATTTGCGACTTTGAAGCTGTCGGATCACATGCGCGGAGCTGATTTCGTGGCAGGCCCGGCACTTTGTGCATTGCGGTGGCCGCAAGGGAAACCTCGAACATGGATGGGTTCGGAGTCTCGAAATCTGCGCGGAATCTGCTCTGAGTCGGACTAGTTGGCATGGCAACGCGCACTGTTTCGCAGCCTCAAAAAAGAACCCTTGGTGCACTTTCGGGGGGTGTCGCGCATTGCTTCGAGCCTCCATGAATGCAAAAATGATCCATGTTCATGTTGTGGATGCGAAGAAACCTGTTCACTGCTTCAAGCCCAAACGACACGCATGAAAGGAAAAGGAAGAGAACGGCGCACGACACGTGTTCTCCCTCCTTTGTCCGGTTTTGCTAAAAGGTGCAGGCTCGCGGATGCAAATAAGTCAACACGCGCGATCGACTCATGCAAGCTGGATCCCACGCCGAGCCTGAGGATCACCTCCCCACCAACATGTTAAAGGTCCCGCGCACTGCTCCTAGCCTCAAATCACCAATAACCCAGAACCAAAAGCCGACCGCAAGGCGCACACCTTTTTTACCGGGTTGCTTGGGAAGGTAGCACTTTCCTAGGGCACTGCGGCGCACCTAGGACAAGGGGCGAGATATTCCCTGCGGCGCACCTAGGACAAGGGGCGAGATATTCCCCCCAGGACAAGGGGCGAGATATTCCCCCCCTGTGAAACAGATCGCAAGACATGCGTGTACTTGCTTAAAAGTGCCAAATGAAGGCGCGGCATGCGTGCCCACGCCTGCATCAGAGGATCAGCGGGTCCAAAGACGCAAACGGGTCTGGGCCCCGATAAAAGGCTGGGAGAGCGCTCCCAGTTCTTGCGCGGTGGACTCCAAAGCGTTGGAGGGTCGGCCGGGAAGCCTAAGTATACTTAGGGCTTAGAAGGGTTGGGTGGGTGGCTTTCAAACAAAACCAGGACTGCGAGTCCTAATCGTGAGTTTAACACAAGGGAAAAGAAAACCCTTAGCGTTAAAGGTCCCGCGCACTGCTCCTAGCCTCAAATCACCAATAACCCAGAACCAAAAGCCGACCGCAAGGCGCACACCTTTTTTACCGGGTTGCTTGGGAAGGTAGCACTTTCCTAGGGCACTGCGGCGCACCTAGGACAAGGGGCGAGATATTCCCTGCGGCGCACCTAGGACAAGGGGCAAGATATTCGCCCCAGGACAAGGGGCGAGATATTCCCCCCCTGTGAAACAGATCGCAAGACATGCGTCCTTGCTTAAAAGTGCCAAATGAAGGCGCGGCATGCGTGTCCACGCCTGCATCAAAAGACCAGCGGGTCCAAAGACGCAAACGGGTCTGGGCCCCCGATAAAAGGCTGGGAGAGCGCTCCCAGTTCTTGTCCGGTGGACTCCAAAGCGTTGGAGGGTCGGCCGGGAAGCCTAGGTATACTTAGGGCTTATAAGGGTTGGGTGGGTGGGTTTCAAACAAAACCAGGACTGCGAGTCCTAATCGTGAGTTTGAGGGCTAGGAGCACAAAACAGCAGCGGCGTAGGAGATTCACCCCAGACCTATAAACACAAGGGAAAAGAACACCCTTAGCGTTAAAGGTCCCGCGCACTGCTCCTAGCCTCAAATCACCAACAACCCAGAACCAAAAGCCGACCGCAAGGCGCACACCTTTTTTGCCGGGTTGCTTGGGAAGGTAGCACTTTCCCAGGGCACTGCGGCGCACCTAGGACAAGGGGCATAATATTCCCCTCCTTCAGTGCTTCCCGACGCAACCCCGGAAAAAAGGCGATTGAGACCAAGGCGCAAAGTCCCCCTCTTCAGTGTGGGGTTGCACCTGCGGCGAAACGAAGCACAGGGAGAAACAATGAAAGCACTGCTTGTAATGCACTGCGTTGGTTCGCCAATGCGCTTCACAGGAAACTGTTAAGAGATGCATGGCATGCGTTCTCACAAATCTATTTTGGTTGAGTTTGGTCTCAAACTCTGCGCGCGCAGCCAGGTGTTCTGGCCACGAAGGCGCGCGTGTAGGGCGCAGCTCGGGTCCTATGCGGCTCTGTTAGGGGCTGCCATTCGGAGGGCAAAGGCGCGTAGCTGTGAAGAGGCGACTCTTGCCAGCTCTGAATCATGCAAGGGCATGTTTTGCTACTTGTTACAAATTCCAGGCAGCGGCGGCCAGATGTTCTGGGCGCTGGCGCTTCTGCTGGGCACAGTGCGATGCCTCTACCTGCTGAAGCGCACGCGATCCGCAGGGCGGTTTGCGAAGCGCGCAAGGCGATTTCTGCTCAAATCATCCGCCCACCCTGGCAGATGAGTCGGCTGCAGAAGACGTTTTTAGCATGCGCCCAGGAGGCAACAAGCTGCACAAGAATTTGCAAAGGCCAAGATGTCGTGAACATTTCGTTAATGCCTGCTTCTGCTGCCAAGTTGTCAGCGCCTGAGGGCGTGCTAAACGAGGAGTGCCCGCCACCAATATGGCTGTGTGTGGCTTGGAGGAGCGCTAGTTGCGCTAGCGTCTCGAAGCAGGCCTCCGGTGCGTACTCCTTCTTGCAGGAAAGGCAACAAAGCAAGGTCTGGGTCCCCCATGACTCCGCCAGCTGAGCAAATGCAGTCGGTAGGGTTGTCCGTTTGCGGGGCTCAAGTTGGAAGGCAACGGAACAAGGCCTCATAGGCGATTTGGACTGCTTCAGTGCGTTCCTTCCCAGTTAAGGGCAACTCCGACTTGCCGCTGACATGTGCTATTATCCGTGTCACCATGTCGTGCTGATGGAGCCAGCGGAGCCCAGTCTGCTGAACGCATGCCTGCACCGTCGCAGACAGGGAATCGGAAGGCTGGGCTGCGTCGGAATGGTGCTGCAGCGCACGCTGCACCACCCCTGTCTCTTGATTGCAGCGCGCCGAGAGGGCTTGAATGCGAGGGCTGTTGCAGCCAAAGGCCCAGGATTTAGCGACCGTCTTGCCATTGCTGGCAGGCGTCAACCCATACAAGTGCACACTAATGCTTGCGGAGCATGTGGAAGTTTGCCTCCTCTAGCCAAGACATTGCCGAAGGCGGCTGTTCCCAAATTCCGATGCCTCCTTTCAGAAATTACTGCATTTGAACACCCTTAACTCAAACACAAGGCCCAAAAGGGGGGGAAGTAACCGCAGGGCAAGCAGAGGTTACTACACCCTGAATAGGCAAATCAAACCTTGCACACTAGCAAGGTGGCACATTCACTGAGACAATCCGATCGCAAGGCTCTCACTGTTTGTCCGGATCAATGGGCAGGTGAATGAATTTCAGTGGCATCCATTCTTCGAATGGACCACTCTTTGACAGGGGATGGGAGGGCGGGTCGCGCGGCGGTCATTAGACCACCGGTCCCACCACACCCACCCACTCGAGTAAAAGTATAACAGGAGTGGAAAAACTCATCATCTTTTCAAACGCATGCAATGACAGCCAAGTGTTTGAGGTTCGACAGGCTCACGCTTAAGGTTTGTTAAAAGGGAACAGGGCGAAGCCCAGTTTACCTTTGAACACCCTTAACTCAAACACAAGGCCCAAAAGGGGGGGAAGTAACCGCAGGGCAAGCAGAGGTTACTACACCCTGAATAGGCAAATCAAACCTTGCACACTAGCAAGGTGGCACATTCACTGAGACAATCCGATCGCAAGGCTCTCACTGTTTGTCCGGATCAATGGGCAGGTGAATGAATTTCAGTGGCATCCATTCTTCGAATGGACCACTCTTTGACATTCCCACCTCCCCACTTTCATACTCATGTCAAAGACTCACAAAGGCTCCAAGGGCAGCCCCGTGCTCGGACAAGAGCACTGGTCCCTGACTGCATTCAAGGC